AGTTTAAGATTGTTTTGAATTTTAAGAATTATTGGATGAATTAGTAAAGATTCTAGGTTCGATTCAAGTTTGAGAATTTAAGTCATCTGCAACTTAATTTGATTCATATTCAGGATGTGATTTTGAAGTTCACAGCATAGAATTTGACTAATTCATGAATAGATAAATTTGAATCTGACTTCCTTAATCAATTTTGAGTTTCCGGTTTAAAACTTAAGCAAACCAAAGGTTTAGATCAAGTCTTAATGACAAACCAGTGGTTTATGGAATTAACAAACTATTTAAAAGTCCACTACAAAATGAATCGCAGTGCTTCAAACTCAAAGACTATGTTTTTACAGCTTCAGAATCATGAGATTCATCCAAAATCGTACATAAACATAATTACAGTGCATATATATCTAGGCTTCGTGAAAACATCCAATAAAAAAAACTATCACCTCATCATCTAAGTATAATGGACACGACTTTCTCTCCCTAAAGAGACTTAAAAATCATTATGAATTGAAATAAAAGAAAAATCTTCAATTTCCCCATTAATACCTCACTGATTAATACGATTTATAAGAGCTAAGATCCCATACAGAAAAAGTTTCTCAAATGAGCATTCATTTACAATAATTCAACAAGTTATGTTCACAGCGATAATCATCCACGTTCATACATATAAAAGAGAACTGAATAGATTTAAACAATAATTAAATTTTTTGCACTTTCAAGCGCATCTTGTTGTCGATATGTATACACAATAATGCATTATTCGTGCCTTATTTATACGTTATTGTTATTATAATACGATATTGCTAAGCATTAAGCCCATCTTTCAAACTTACGCCTCGAAGACTGATAAAGTAAATTTTTTTCTTTCTCCGCATTTTCTGAACATTTTTTTTTCATTATCGAGATTTTTCGCCATTTCGCTTGATTCAGTATTTGTTTCGTAATTTATATATAAATATTATAAAACATACCGAAATAAAGCTAGCATAAGTTTGGCCATTTGTGACTGATTAAGGCGCATTTTCAGAAATCTCAATCTTCTGATTAGTTTAATGACATATTGACTTTTGTTAAAAACTGACTCGTGCATCCAAAAGCTTTCACTTACTCCATTTTATGAGCTTATGTAGCCATTCTAAGAACTTGATTATGATCCTTAAATTGCACTGTAATAATACAAAACTTGATTTGAGTAGGATTCGAACTCGAATTCTTAAGATTTTCTGTTAACTCTTCACACTATGCTGTTGGGAACTGATTATAAGTTTAGCAATGTACCTCTATAATCTAATCAGCTCTGATCAGTATCTTGGGATGCTATGGATCATGTGAATTAACACAGTCTCACAGTATGTCACTAAGAATGGACCCTGGATAAAATACAAACAATAGTACAGCCTGAAAATAACACATACAAAAAAGAATGAAAACAGCAAAAACATTCCAGCATAAAAAGCCAGCTTTCAACTTTAGCGAAATATTCCATTCGATATTTCTTTACAGGCTACAAATTAAGATGAAATTTCTTTGTGGATGAAAAATTTTCCTCTCTTTTTAAATGGTAAGTTGCAAAAGAATTTATGTTAGCAAGATGAATTTTTACCACGAGGCTTTTAAGCACTATTCAAAAGCGGCCTTTACTTTACTTGAATCGATTCACGTACAACACAATAAATTTAAATTATTTCAAAAAAAACGAGTTCTTATTGGCAGTTTTGGAATCATGCTATCTTCATGAAAATTATTACATTCTTTGCCTTTTTTTTATGCATCTCGCTCGTATGTGTGAAGTGCTGTATAGAATAAAGAACCATAAAGTTCATCCATATCTCATTCATTGAAGCTCATTTAATTTAATTGCATCGCTTTTGTTACATCAATGTTCATCATCTTATTTCAACATTAATTCTTCATGGTGGATGATGAGCGCGAAAACTTATTATTATGGCGAATTCTGCAATATGATAATTTTGTAATTAGGTGGGAATGGCTTGGTAGATAGTTATTTTAATTGTTGTATTGATTGAATGTCCATAGACTTTCTCTTGGAGCTTAGACCAAATGTAGATCATTTATGTACCTCCTGTATCTGCTATGGTTAAAGACTTCGTTCAAGAATCGAACCCTAAGTCCAACTCTGGATTAATAATCATCTGGTGATCGCTATTGAGAACTGTAGTGACAAACTATAGCTTTGTAATACCTCTAAAGCTAGATCATAAGAATCTATTTATTTATTATTATTATTACTTATTGGCGACGTTACCGTTCGGAACAATTCGTATTTATACATGTTTTACTTTTTACATTGATTAGTGATACATTTCATATCACTATGGGTGATGTAGAATCAAGCTTCTAATCTTCAAATCTAGGTTTCGATTAAATTCAGGCTCTCGTTTCAATCTTCTGTGTGCGTGACGTGATACATTTCAGGTCCGTTCTGACAATATTCCATTATAAGGTAATCTTGTAGCTCTCGTTCCTATTTCTCCCGCTACACTTCAAGTTCCTGATCCGTTCCTTAATCCAACGTTACCCAAAATGCCCAATTATGGCTTGACTCGTACATTAAGCAGTCGAAGTATCTAAACTTCTGAAAAAGAACAAATTTGGAAATGGCTGGATTCGAACCGACGACCTTCGAGTTACCATACCAAATTTGAGCCAAGCGCCTTACCTACTCGACCAGCAAGGCACTTAACTGCTTATTTCTGCTTGCGTAAGTTAGATCTTCCATAATGATCCTTGTGTTTAAAAATGATCAAGCGAATTGAAAGTGTCAAAAGTCCAACTACCAATAAACCGAAGTCACTTAGAATTTTTAATTAAGCTCTCCAAATCCAGACACAATCTATAGAATTTGCATTTCGAAAAAAAAAATTTCTAACAAGCTCGAGAAGAGTGCGAAAGAAGAATAAGGAGAAAAACGTGATTCTGATCAATAACTCATAAAGAGAAGAAAGAATTGTGTAAAAAAAGAGGAGAAAAAGCTAAATAACAACATACGCCCCTTTTTTTCTTAAAAAATTGCACTTTATATTATTAATCCACTTCGATATATTTTATTAAATGTAAAATTGCCCCACGGTTTCGTTTCAAGTATGTATCTCTTTGTCCTGTCTTTGGGTGCATGAAAGAATTTAAGTGAACAATTTTCTGTTTTGCATTTTTTTTTATTTTTAAACCACGAACGAAATCTAGAGAGAAATAAGAGGGCAGTACCGGAATAAGAAGAAAAAGGAAATTTATGTTTCAAGATGGAATAATGTTCATAAAAGCGAGAAGATCGATTTTTTATCTTGTATTTTTTTCGGTTAAGTTAAGTACAATTCAAAAAAAAAACACATTTTCATTATTAAGATTTATAATTTTTTATTGAACAATTTTTGCCAGCCCTTCCTCCTTCTTCGATCTCTTCAGTACGAAGTTGCGGTCTATATATGCTGGGAAATTTTATATTTTTTGGAAGTTGCAATATGCTGTTTGTGTGCAGATTTGATATCGATTATGATATTCAATGGCAATTTAACACCTTACTTTACAGGCTCTTCTCCTACCTTTACTGTCTGTTCAATTAATGAAAAAAGATTGCAACGTTTTTTTTGGATCAAAAATCTTGATTTTTTTTTATTTTTAATTTGATTATCATAATGATCACGAAAAAGCAGAAAGCAACAACAAAAAAGTTTCAAAATCTTTTTATAATTATAGTTAAGTTACTCTTTTTAATTTTTTCTTATTTGAGCATTGAAATCTAATCAAAAATCAATCTATAAAAAATCATTTTAGTAAATATTTCACTAGATTTTTGGAACTCTATTGCTAAAGAGTCTTAATTCTGTTAAGTTAAGTGATTTTGCTGACATTATTCAGAAAAACACACTTGAGATATTTGCGATGAAAATTTTGAAAAATTTTTTGAATTTAATTTTGATTAACATTTGAAGTTTTTGTTTGAAAATTGAGCATCTGCAAGCTCTATAGAAAATCTACTTAATGTTTAATTTGAGTTTTAAAATCATGGATATCAGTGAACTATTAAGGTAATTGTAGGAATTTTTTAGAAAGATTTTCTGGCAAGAAGGGATATATAAGATAGAGGATACTCTAGATTTTGTGGAAATAGTCAAATGTTTAATGATAAGTATTGAAACAAAATTTTCATCGCAAACATTTTTTTAAATTAAAATCATTATCTTGCACTTTTCACTGGTAATAATTTCTTTTAAATATCTAACACAAAAAAATTACATCATATGAAAAACGTATAAAATGTTCAAATTTTTGATCGAAGTGGATTGAACTTTCCAAAAAAATTAACAATTGATTCCAAATTTCAATTTATAAAGCTTTAATATGTTCGTTCTGCTAAAACTTATAAAACAGAAAGATGTTTTTTGAGAAACAAAACAAAAGATATGATGTTGCCAAGAGTTCGAATCTCAAAAGAAATTTCGGAAAATTATATATTCGGTTATAATGATTGTAATTTATGTTGATTTATCTATGATCTGTGTGGTTTTAACTGGTTCAGATTTAAGTTTTATTACTTATCTTTTTTTTTTTGCAAATTCAATCCACTTTGATAATCGTATATCCATTTTTGAAGAGTCAAAAGTAAGAAATAAATTCATTCAGGGAACATAATCAGAAGCTTTTTTATGTCAAATACATTAATGTTATTTTTCTTCTGTATTGTCTCATGATTAAAAGGGAACATTAAATTGTTTATTTTCATCATCATCATCATCATCTTAAAAAAATTATCATTTTCTATATTCATCTCAGTTCTTTAAAAGACTCATGAGTTTTTGTTTTATGTGCAACAGTCTACGGGATTAATTGAAATATAATATAATGTATGTATTGTTATGAGTGTTAAATATATAATATCTTAAGTACAATTAATTTGTTTCATTCACTTTTTAAGTAAAAATGTGCTCGCGTAGATCATTAAAGCCTCTTCGTCCATCATCAGCGTCATCGTATGGCAAATATCAATTGAAGTTTTCTGAATATTTTAATATGTTCTGGCATAAAGCACAATGAAAGTTTGTCGTTATTGATTTAAAAATCATTTCAATCTCATTTGTATCGAAATATGCAAAGTTCTCATAATTGCTGTATAAATGTTTGAATTTTTCATACAATTGCTTCTCCAATCCATTCGGTTGAACATTATTATTGTTATGATTATTATTATTATTATTGTTGCCACAAAAGTATAGAATGAATGCTAATTGAAGGAAATAGTAGTCAAGATTACAGAGGAAATATTTCTCAAGTTCCGATACATCCATTTGATTCTTAATAAAGTGTAGAAAGACGTCATAAATGAAATATTTGATATCTTCTGTATGCATTGGAATTATGTTTTGATCTGTTGTAAAATATTCAAAAATCTTGATCGATAATGCCGACGTTCGTCCATCACTCTCTAAAGCTTGCTTAAAAGCCTCAATATAATTATAATTAAGCATTAATGTTCGAATCTTGTATTCACTACTAATTATGTGATTTAAGCTTTTCTCATAAAAATGTGTTGAGTCGTAAAGTCCTTGAAATAGGAACAGACAATAATGAATGTAGTCATTTGATTTTGTTGGATCATCACATTCAGTTCCATTATAAGATGATTTTGATGATAATGTTGATGTTTCTGAAGCAACACTCGATATCGATGAAAATGATGGATTACGATTACTGTCCAAGATCTTTTCATCAACATATAATTGATGATGTGCCTGCTTCTTTAATGACTTACTTAGAGCACTCTCAATGATGCAATGTTTCTTAAACTTTGGTAAATTCTTTAAGTAACAAATTGGTTGATTTGATGAGAAATTTACGAATGTTGATGGCGCATTTAGAGGTATTTTGACTGATGCTGGATTATGCAAATACATGCTACTCTCAGGAATACGAAATACTCTTTTTGATGACTTAAATCTTATCAATTTTCCAGCTCCCTGTTTATCTCCTAAATTTTCCACACCACACTGTCCATTGCCATTATTTCCAAATGTCTTTAATTCATTCTCATTTGTTATCACTAATGTATAATCAGCACCACAGTCTACATATTTAACTTCAATATCATTGAATGCTTGACATTTTGACGGAGTTGTTATGTCTGGTTTTACACTTTCGCGAGCCAACTGTCGTTCAATATTCTTACCCCACATATAAAGTGTCGATGATGTTGTTATTAAACCATAATGATAAATTCCACTTGAAATTGAAATTATATCACTATCAACATCATATGTATCGACTTCTGTTGGTTGTAAATGCCCAACATATTCTTGTGTCGAAAGTTTTGGATCTTCTACTTGCTCTTCACTTCCCGACGGTGCTGCATCCTTTACTTTTTTATTATTATTGATTGATGATACTTCTTCATTATTCTGTTCGACCTTTTCACATTCATCAATTTTAATTTCTGGAACAGTTTTTGTTGACAATTCCTCATTCTTTTCAGCATTTGAATTATTTACAACTTTTGGCTCAAGTTTGGTCTTTTCTCGAGCTGAATTTTCCGCAGTTTCGGTCTCTTGCTTCTCAGTTTCTAATGCAGATTCCTTTAATTTCTGATTTGCTTTATTTCTCTTCTTCGTTTGATTAATAATTCTCAATTCGGGTGGACTTAAACCCCACGTTAGTAATTTATTTGAATCAGTAACAGCAAAATTCACAAAATATCGTGTATGAATCAAACGAATATCTTCATCGATTTTTATTCGCTGAGGCACAAAACTGATTGAGTTATTTTTAGTCAAATTAAAATCACTTTCATATGAATTGCCGGTGCCAATTTGACCGAAATGATTTGAGCCAAATGCGTAGAGGCAAGTATTTAAATTGTCATTTTTCTCATACGTAAGTACTAATGTGTGAGCCTGTCCGCAAGCAATTTGCTTTATTTTCTGTAAATAGAAGTTCAATTTTAATTGGTAAGTAGTTGAGTATATCGTCGAAGGAGCTACTTACTTTTTTCGAGAAAAACTCAACCAGTTTAGGTTGTCGAATATTCTTGATCTCTACATGTCCACATTGTGCATAAACATTCCAACCCCAAGCGTACAATTCATCATCAGCCACAATAGCATTGTGATGCTGTCCAACGGAAATTTGCGTGATATTCTTATTATCCAATGTCTTTATGAGCATTGGCTGTAAAGCAACATTCAATTTGAGTTTCTCTTCTATGCCCAATTGTCCAAGTTTATTGCATCCCATCGCATAAAGTCCATTATTTGTCAGAAATAGAGTATGAGAGCGACCACAATGGACAGAGAAAACGTCAAGATTTATGTCTTTGAAGAAGTCAAGTCTCGTTGGAAGTAAATCATTGTCTGATGCATCTAATGTGGGTCAAAAATAAAATCAATTTTAAGAATTTATAAGTCAGTCATTCTTTGTTTGACATTTTACATACCACTTTGTAAGACATTCCGATTCAATGCACAATTTATTCCATTCGTTCCCCACATATAAACTGAGTTATCGACAATACATCCCGAATGACTGAATCCAGCTGATATCGGTGAGAAATTCATCAATTTTACATAATTTTGTCTTTCCTCGCTTGTAACACGAAATACATTAATGCTATGAAGGAAATTGTCTTTGTGATGCTGCAACTTTTGGAGCTTTATGAGGATCATGATGTACGTTTCGATTAAAGCTTGGCAAAATTCAAGGAATTTCTGGGGAGTCAACCAGAATTATTATCAGTATTTTAACACTATTTAAGAGTTAACTTACATTTTCCATTTCCTTAATAATATTTTGATTCTTAACTTTGAAGAGAACTGGTCGATAAACAGGATCAAAGGGGTTTAATTGCTTTGCAAGACGCTGAAAGTAAAACAGAATATAATCAACTAGTGGTTATGGGTCCGTAACGTTCATGATGCATATGGCTACAATCAAAACTCTATAAATCAATGTAATTCCCGTGCAATTTGCATAAAAAAAGAAGAAAAAAATTTACTACAAATTATTTCTATGCTCATAGTCTATTACATCCGTAATTTTACTTGTAATAGCTTTAAAATTGTCAAAATATGAAAAAAGGATAAAGTTCTAATTTTTGTATGAAATTACATACTTCACAAATGCAAAAAATCCACTCGGTAGAAAGTCATTGAGTTTTAACCGAATTTTCTGAAAATTATCTCAGAATCTTGGAAAAAAATTTAAAAATTCATCACGCACTCAGCATTTAAGAGATACATAGTAGAGATGTGACCTATAATTAAGCATGAAATGACTTACCACTAAAACTAGTTCGTCTAATTTATCCAAATTTTTACGTATTGCTTCAAAATAGTCAAATCCAAAATTCTGAAGATAGACAATAGTCTCCATAAAGATTTCGTCCGACAGATTATACATGTATCTTGTGATTTCATTTGAAATGTCTAAAAATGAATTAAGATAAGAAAAAAATTACCAAATAATCCAAATTTCCTTTATTTGTGAAAACTTGATAATTTACCTAAAACATGATCAGCCATCGATACTAAGCAACTAAAGACATCTAAACATGATCCGCGATGCATAGCCAACAGAACAGCTGAAGAGTAAAGTCCACTTTGAGATAAAATGATTGATGAGAGACTTGTATGATACTTATTATTGGTAACAATGAAATTCCATAAAGGCATTAAGTTTTTATCTTTAACAACTTTCTCGCAAAGTGTCAAAAACAATAAGTTTGATAAATGAAATTGTGCTGAATTGCTCATTTGAACCTCAAAATTGTCACTTGATTCATAGGAAAAGTCACTAATTGTCTTTCCAGCATTAATCACTTTATCTGAGTCGTTCCTTTTCATCACATTTAATACAACTTCACTTTTCTCTTGTCGATCTTGAATGTCTTTAATTAATTCATTGATTAATGGTGACATTGGATGTTTACTTTCAAGAATATAACTCGTTTTTAATGCCATTGATGCAATTTGTCTTAATGCTGATGCCTCATTAAACATTGCTAATTTTAATGCAGTCTTAATCGGTGGTGTTCTAGCTATATTATATGTTAAAAGAGCCTGCTCAATTTTCTTTTTTCTAAGCAATATATCACCAGAAAATTCGACACATTCAGTCATGTTGAGATTGAATGTCTTACAAAAATCATCACATAAGGTCCATAAAGATGACGATGCAAGATTCAAGAAAATGATATGAGGTTTCTCTTTAAGCTCAACACAATAAACACCTTTGCTTGTTATCAGGAGGCACTTGTCGAAGATCACACGAGGAAATTCGTTCTTGAGCACCTTACAGTCATGAATATCATCAAATTTCTTATTGTGTTTAGATTTTGAGTGATAGCTAAGATATTTAGAATATGTTGATTTCATCTCAACCTCATTGCTGGATATTTCATTGCCATCCTTCACATTTTCCTTATCAAATGTTAACATTGGTAACAAGCCAAGAATTTTCTCGTCAAATGAAAACTTAAAAGATCCAAGTATAGCACGTTCATTAAATTCATTCTCCTCTCCAATCTTTGTTGATGCGATATTGCAGCTTATTATACTAATTGTATTTTCTTCAATCGAATTTTTGTTATTAATATTATTATTATCATTTGTATCATGACTAGAATTTGTTACTGAATTATCATTGGTCACATTTCGTGCATTACTATTACTATTATTATTATTGTTGCTGTTTTGATTGTTATTTTCCGAATGAGTCAGCGTAGATTCCTCCATTGCTGATGTGGTGGATGTAATTATAGGATTTGATGTTGATGGTTGCAAAGTAAAAATGATATTTTCTGTCAACAGAACATCACATGTGTATTGTGGTATTTTATAGAGTGCAGTTGGAATCATCATTATTTCTATGTTGTGAATCTACAACGAAAATTAAAATTAAATTTATAACGGTTTTTTCAAATTTAAAAAAGTGAACTGAATATAAATGAAGTTTAATTTACTGAACAGTTTTTAAAATTTCAAATTTAAAAAATACGTTAAAAAGTCGTACCGAAAGAGTAGAAGAGTAAGAATGTATTGCCCCCATCATGCTTCTATTTTGATGGTTTTGAACGGTGAAAATTGGTCCTGACGTTGTTGTGAGCAGTTCAGGAAGAATTGAGACATTTTCATGCATCGAACGACTGTTATCGGTATCAATTCTTTCCTTTTCACGTGACTTGTTGCGCTCAGCAAGTTTCATTTTCAAATTGCCAATCTTTTTCGCACCTAAATCACGAAGTGACAGAAGACGAGCTTTTGCAGCTGGAAAGAAATTTGGTAAATCATCAGACGTTCCTGCAGCTTGTTCTTGTTCAGTAGATTCTGATATTTTCTCATACGTTTCATTTCCTAAAATTTCCCAGTCATTTTCACCATTTTTAGGGTTTTCAAATGGATTTTTAATGTCATTCGGAAATGTATAGCATATAGACTTTTGCTCCAATAAGAGTTTATATTGTTCCTTTGTAGATGTATTTATCATCAAATAAATTGTGTCGCAGCTTGTTCCTTTACATATTGCAAATTTCTCTATTGCGCCTTTCTCAACAGACGTATTTCCTACAAATGGGCAGTTGTTCACAAGTTCTGAAAATATAAATCACTTTAAATCTAGTTCCTTTTACTCAATTTATGGAATAACTTACGTACGACGACGATACATCCATCGGAATATCCAATTATGGCACGATTTTGATTGTATTCAGCATGAGTTGTTCTCCACCAAATTATTGATGTCGGAATTGGGCATGAAATAGTCGAATCTGATGATAATGTTGATGACTCCATCAGTCCTGAAGACATATTACTCAATTGACTATCACATGGTGTTGATGCACTAGTTCCAAACTTTTCAATTTCAATGCTCGAATCATTTTTCATAAATGAAGACGATGCTGATATTGATGCTGAATTTTGTGGTTTCTCATCACAATAAATATGAGTATAAGCGGAACTTGAGCATAGCTCATTGATTTTACTTGAACTGAGTCGATTTTTCTTAACTTCGAACTGATAACGTTTGGTTCTTTTAATAGCATTTACATCAGTACATGAGCCCTCGTACATTTGATTTGGGCATTTTTGAGTATCTGGACAGACATGAGGTCCAATGAATGGCACAACAAAGGAAGTGATTTCATTTGCAGGAAATATGCATTTAAATGACACAGATTTGTCGCAGATGGAGAGTGCAGGAACAATATGTATCTAAAATGTAAACATTTTTATCGATTTCTTTTGATTGTGCCTGTAAAAAATACTTACAGTATTATCAATGCACAAAACGAGCAACCAAGTTGAAGGAAAAGGATCAAAGGCGACAGCTTAAAGAAAATATTATTGCGTATGAATTTATTAGATCAAAATAAGGGCTATTTTAATGAATTTAATACCTTTGATGATTTTCTTTTTTTCGAAGAACCAGTCGATTTTTTTCAATATAATTTCCGACGTTTCTGACACATAACGAAGGACAATTTCATCCTTTGATGTTACTATGCACAACAGCTGATATTTAGACTCACTGGTGACCTCAGAACTTACTGTCAATTTGAGCTGATTATCATCAAAATTGTGCAAAATTTTTTCACATTTAATAATTTCCTTTTCCTTCATTTTTCTATGCTTTATCTACAGATTAATGTTCTTTCCTAACAAGTCACTACACTAATTAATAAATTAAATCATTTTAAAGCACACAAAGTATTATTTTAATCAATTAAAAGATAAAATTAAAAAGTTTCACAAATAAAGGGTTCAAAATCTCGACTGTTTATGAAGTAGAGCGGATATGTCTCGAATTGAGTTTCAAAAAGATATAATCAGATCTTTTTATAAGCACTGCTTTAAACAATGTTTTAATTGTAAATGAAATTAAACAGACAAGATTTTAATGTCAATTGCGATAGTATTTTATTTCTTGGTAAAATTATTCGATTCAACGGTTTTTTGGAATTCAAATTGAGTCGTTGTAAAATTTGAATTTTTTAAAATTTCAACCGTTATTAACGGAAATAATCAATCAGCATAAAGGAACATTGTTACTAACGACTTAAGGTCTCTAGTCTACTCAATAAGCATAGAGACATCACAATTGAGTGCCCTTGTTGATACAGGGTTCGACAAAAACCATTGTAAATAAATTTGTATGAAACTTTGAATGTTTTTATTCGATTTTATACCCGACATACTCTGAAATACTGCGATCTATGTAATTTACGTGACTTGTGATACTCCTAGCAATATTTTACATGTAAATTATCGATCCATTACAAACGAATTTGGAAAGAAAGTTTAAGAAAAAAGAGTATTTTGATAATTTTTGTTAATTTTAGTAGATTTCTTCTTGAAATCGATATTAAAACATTAAATTTTACTTGATAATGAGCACAAGTAACCGACAAAGTGAAGATGGACTCGCAGAAAGTACAAGAAAAGTGAGTTTTAATGATTCAAGTGTTGATGGTTTTCACATATATGTATTTTTTCTTCATCTTGGAGCTCGTTTTGTGTATTGAATATATTTCTTATATTATAAAACGCCTACTTAATAATATTGCAAATTTGTGCTTTATATGAAAATAGCCATTTCAGAAGACAAGAAAATAATCCATTGTAGATAGTTTCGAATATTGAAAAAATTGAAAAAAAGTGAACAAGAGGATACAGAAGTGAAAAATGGATCACATCCATAAGAAGATGAGAGAGAAAAAAAAAGTTTTTTTTTGTATCTTTAAAATGAAAATTTTTGACTTTTAAAGAAAACTAAGTGCATCAAAAACTGTGTAAATAAATCTTTAAGTTACGATTGTATTTATTCCCACACATGATATCTCTACCATGATTAAAAATTGTCAAATTCAGCCATGTGTATGTACCTAGATAGTTTTTATATATATTTTTTTATGTACAATGGAGAATTTGTTATACGGATGACGTCATACTATCTTTCTTTTTACTATCTATCTTCTTCTAAGAAAATATTCACTTCTCAGACACAAGAAGTGAATCTTCATATTTCTCATAATAATCATAATTTTTCTTTTTTTTTCTATGCATTATAATTAATTTAAAAAACTCAAACAGGCAAAACAACGAGCCTCAATTCGATGGTTGCTGTCAAAAGCATTCAACAATCGAGTGCCAGATCAACTGCGAGAGCCATTCTATACAGATCATGACGGGAATCAACACTTGAAGCCACAGATCGTCGTTGGATTAGGAAATGCATCAATCTATTGTCAAGTTTTATCGAATATCTATAGTGATCCCAATTATCAAAGCCTAAATCATTGGTCAATCCTGCAAACATTATGTCGTAAAGGAGTGCCAATATTGGATGAACGAGTTGGTGAACCACCGCTAACCGAAACAGTTCTCATTCAAACGAATCCAATAAGAATCGTATGTGATATTTTCTCTTCTTAATGCTCTTCTCCATGCTTAAAACTTACTTATTGTTCATTCATTTATATCTGGGTTGGCTATACTGTGCTGTATTTGTTCAGTAAAATTCATAGTTCATGTTCGTTAAGTTCAATTTTTTGAATTTCAAATGACGGTTAAATTTTGAATGCCAAAAACCCTTTAAAAATTTCTGTTTTTAAGCCACATCATAAACTTAATAGCCATAAGAATATTTATTTTGAGATAACGTGAATCTGTAGAGTGACAGAAATAAGTTTGGTATTTACCTATTTCATAACACTTTTAATTTATTTTAGAATGCTCATATGTCTGTGATAGAAGCTTTGATGATACTCTACGCAAAGGAAGTGACATCCGGTGATCGTATACACTCTGCAGTATACAAATTGACGTCAGGCTCGGTTTCGAGCGGATTAAATAGTGAACAATTATTATTATTATGGGTGTCGCATGTAATGGCATCGTTGAAGCGTAGGATTGATCATGACTTGACCATCAATGAGCTAGTTGATGAGAAAGGCAAGAAATTAAGAACGCCCGACATTCCTGCTCCAATTCAAGACATTACAAGTTTATGCGATGGCGTTTGCTTAGCTTATTTAATTGCATTTTATTGTCCAAAAATTTTGCCATGGTATCAAATACGAATTAGCTATTTACCGACTGTCGAGGACTCGCTCCATAATGTCTTGTTAATCAATAATTTCTCCGAACGTCATTTACCATATTCCGTCTTTCATATGATGGCTGAGGATGTCACATATATGCGAGGGTAAGTTTTGGCCATAAAAAATAAAAAATTATTGTCAAAATATTTTTATTTTGTCGATATTTCTAAATTGAGACATGCTTAATTAACCGGTTTTCTTCTTCTTAATCGTCTCTCTTTAATCATAACAGAAATATGAAGCAAAATCTTGTTGTCTTATTAGCTGATATGTTTAACTTGTTTGAGATTCATCCAGCACCATGTGTCGATTATCCGGAATGTGAAAAATCTACAGGTGAGTGCTCAAAAGCCTTAAATGTAAAAACACAAAGTGTATAGTACTACAAATAATCTATGAGCTTCTTTAATGCTTATTGTACTCTGATTATATATTAGAATATGTTTGTTTTTTTCGGACGGTAAATCTTGATAAAGCAGGCACATAAATTGATGAGTCCATTAACAAATGGATCGAAATTTGCATGCGAAATTTCCTTTAAACACAGTATTTATGTAAATATATATCGTGCTATGATTAATGAATATGCATGATTAATATAAATGGTCAATTTTTACATCTTTAACGTTACACTTTTATATATTCATCGAACCAGTTATATTTTTTGTAGTTGAACTATATATTTTGTGTTTTAGTTTCGTATCAAACCATAAAAAAAAACAAGCATATTCGAATTGTTAAGTATCAAGAAAACAAAAGAAAAACATCAATTTTATTGGCATAGAACAAATATTATGACTACTTTTTATATTATATCTCACTGACAAATTTGTAGAAAAATTACAATTTCTTTTATACTTCCTCACTAATCAAATCAAATCAATGTTGAATTATCTTCTCATACCAGAACATTGACTGTGACTGTTAATTACTGGTTTTATTTTGAAATTTTTGAATTTTTATAATTTGAAGCCAACTTCAAGTTATACATTTTTTTGAAATAGCCGTTTAAAATTAGGTCAATAAAGTCCTTTGTATGAGAAGATAAATAACTCAATTAATGATATTACTCACCAATACGAAACATTTTACCACCTTGTTGATAAATAGGAGAAATAGCTACAAATCAAAGTAAAACGAATGAGCATGGAATTGCTCATCGACGAGGATTCACAACTCAAACGATTCAGCCAATTCCTGATTTGAGGAGTGGATATAATTCACCTCCGTCCTCGGCAGGCTCTACTTCAGGCAGACCGCCTTTTCAAGGTCAATAATACTAAAAAAAAAAATCATCATCCAAAAAAGTTGTTCCTGATTTTTTTTTCTCATTATTATTTCATTACTTACTCTCTTTACATTAGTTTTGATTCACACATGTGATTATTTATGATTTCATACAATTCATTATTTTTCTTTTTCTTTATTCAATCGTACCTTGTGCTGCACATAAACTTTTTTTTCTCTCATTGTTTCATTTCAATAGTATTTAGCGCATTTCTATTATTTTTATTATTATTATCATTATTACCATTATTGTAGAGCATGCAGTTTTTTTTTGTTGTTTTACTCTCTCAGTTCTTTTATTTTTCGAGCAATTGCATACACACGAATTTAGGGTTTCCAAAAAATTACCGTTCATATTTCTTTTTTTTTTTTTGCTAAATGGAAGTGGCTTGTTAGGCAATTTATCACTTCTGATCGCACTTAGAGATTCGAATTTTTAATTAATTTGTGTCTCATTAATTTTGACGGCACGAAAACACCTTCTTCACTTACTTTATTTATGAGATAAACTGTCTATTGTAGTCGAGAGTGTGCCAATGGATTGTCAAGGCTTCTTTCAAATGGGATTTTAGGCATTGATCTGTGGCTTAATTGTTCAGATCAAATTATTTGAGTCAATATGATAGATTCTGGTTCAAGGATCCAATCTAAATGACTAAACATGTTTATTGTCAAACAACTCTTAGTGATCAATACTAAATCAAAAAAAGTCGATCTACATTTTTTAAGACGTGACTAATGCGTCCAAACAATAGGAATAGGTCATCACTATATTAATTTTCTGGGAACAAATAAACGATAGATTGACTCAGAACTGCATGTCTAATTTAAAATATCGATTAAAGCACCTTGAGAAGTAGCTCAATTATGACTCATCAAGAATGCGAATTCCCTTCTTCTCTACTTCCTGTTACATTACAATTAAAATTCAAAGAACAGTTTAAACTCACAAAGAATTAAATCTTTTGGCATACAACGTCAAACAAGACAATTGTCAGTCAGGGAACCACCACAAAAATATTTTGGAAATCCTATAATAAATAAAATATAAAAATCCGAAGAAATGCTATTACTAATGTATTTGATTGACTACATGATTTATACTAATAGTTTTGTTGGCGTTCATGATTTATCATTTACAATTGTTGAATTATTGGAATCATAAAAGAATATTTTAAATTATTTTCTTATCAGTTGTTCGATCGCCTTCATCGAATAATGTGTATCGTCACCACACCCCACCAAAAGAAGTGTTTTATGGCACGAGCAACAACAGCAACAACACAAATTCGAGCAGTAATAATGGAAATATGGAGGCTGATAGTGAATTTGTCGTGCATAGATCAAAAGGCGTACCAACATTGTCAACAATGCATGATCCTTTGATTCCCGCAAAATTACGTCAGTCTAAAGAGAAATCAAATAATGATACGAAAGCTGATGAGAGAGGTGAGTCTTAATTTTTGTACAGTTGGTTTTTTTCATTCATTCCATAAATATCTTTCTTCATTTACTATTTTCGGTTTATTCATTTATGTTGGAAATTCTGTTGTTTTACTTTCATCTCTTACTTTATTACTTCAAATTCATCTTTTTTGAACCATTTTTTGTTTTATCAAATCGTGAATTAGGCGATAAGGCGGCTGGAAGACCAAGTAATTGGGATGATCGAAAGACTAGCTATGCTGGTGGGTTCTCATTATTTTTATTATTTTGTGTTGTGCATTACTTCATATGATAAAGCATTTTTAATGAATATTTCTCATTAATTTAATTCTTTCATTCTTTTCACGACTACAAAAAGGTCGAAGATCGCGTAGAAATTCATTTAGTGAGGATTCCCAATTGACAATTGAAAACTTTGGTGGCTCTCAAGATCAATTGAATATGATTGGCACATTTGATCGTCGCTCACAAGATCGGGAACGAAAGATATCAAATACAAGTATTGAGCCAACGCTTCCCGCACGAAGTTCAATAGCTGATGCTCGAGGAACTCTTGTTATTGGCTATGAATCGGATGGTGAGAAAGAAGATAAAGAGTCTGAGAAGCCACATTTGAAACGTCAAAATAGCAATACCTCATCGAGTAATAGTAGCGGTGTACATCATATAGTGGAGGAGAAGAGAAAAATGTCATCATTCGCTTCGCTCGCTCCGGCACCAACAACAACATGGCAGCAGCAAAGTGTTAATGCCCATCAAATGAACGAAATGCGTAAGTTTTCATATTTTAATGAGCGTGTGGATTTCGCAACAAAAAAAAATGTAAAGGCTATCTGGAAGATTTTCAGAACTTCATTTCTATTCAGTTCAGTTTGTCTTGAAAAACCGTTAAATTTTTAAAAAGTTCGTTTCAGTCCAGTTTAAGCTTTTAAAATCTTCAAAACCGTTAAAATTTAAATTTAAAATAAAAACGTTAAAACAGTCGAAATTTCATAACTTAAATTAAAACCAATTAGCAGCCAATAGTGCGCTCCAGTCATCCATAAACACGCAAAAATAAAATCATTTCCACTGAGTTTTTGAGTAAAAGTTCATAATTTATTTTTAGGTGATACAAATCAACCATTTGTAGACGATTCAAAATTGAGCTCCGTTCGACTTAAATTGGAAGAGAAGAGACGACATATTGAAAAGGAAAAGCGTCGATTGGAATCCCAAATGTCAAAACAATTGCAAAAGGTTGGAAAAGCTGCATTTTTGCAAGCCATTAATAAAAGGGTGAGGAGTTGTTTCCGTAATGTAGATTTTTTTTTTATATAATTTTATCATTTTTTATGTACGTTTATAACGTTCGTTCTTGTTTTTTTGTTTTTATACTTATTCCTTTTTATCACATAAATTTATCACACATTTTTTACTTTTTTTCATATGTATATCTTCTTGGAAAAATACAAAAAATGCCATGTTGATTGCACAACTCTTAAATATTTGTTCCACAAAAAAAAAAAAACTCTATTTTATATGTTGGTGATTGAAACATAAATCATTTGTGATTCTTCTTAAATATATATTGTTACTGTAGGAGAAAAGTAGTGAAGACGGTAAAACAGAAAGTGATTTGGTGATGGTAGATTCTGTTGAGAAACCTGTAAGTCTACAGGTGGGACATTATCATTATTTTATTTGTTGCATGTAGTATATTTAATTGTATAATGACATGAGAAATACCTTTGATATAATTTATTTTTATATATGCCGTAGTATTAAGTTAGTTCAACAAACTTACTTAGAATTTATTATGACTACTAATTCTCATGAAATGAAGCTTCTATTATGACTTACTAAAATCTTTTTTTATATTTTTTATTACTCATACTTAAAACTAATGTGCAGGACGTAACAATGGAGCAACCTCAATGGAGCAAAAAACTTCCAGATTATGAACACAATAATAATATTTCATTGGAACAATATCAACAAAGTATTGCAGTAATGAATTCAGACTTACATGACATTCAAGAGGACATTCAAAAATTAGCTGAACAACAAAATCAGATACAAGTTCAGACAATGCAAGCACAGCAGCTCCTTCAAGCGCAGCAAATAGCTAATATACTCACTCAACAGTATGGAAGTCAACAGAACATAACTGGAATGTATCATCCTATACAACAACAACAGTATAACTCTACACCTCAATTGCCAATACAAAAACCTATTCATCATCAGTATATAAACGATCAAGGACAATATGTTAACCAAAAAGTAAGCATGCTGCCAAATCTCATTTTTAGGGCATTTAAAAACATTTTTATCGGGAGACTTTGCTTCATTTTGTCTCTTAAGTGCTTCGTTGAAAAATAACGGATTTTGAAAATTCCAAAACTTTTTTTTTTGACGAAACTTTATTCAAAATTTTTTGAACCGTTAATTTTTGAATATATTTTGACCGTTGTTTCTCAATCAAAAGTTTCAATTTTCAAAATGCGCTTTAGACAGTCACTAGCTGAATAGCTATTAAATTATCTTCTGTGCTCTCATTTTAGATTCAAAGCAGAGAGAATTCTCGAATTATTGAAGATCAATATTCATCACCATCACAATATTTAAATCATGAACAACAGAAGCATATTGCGAAATATGTACAGGAAACGAATAATTTTCGCGATCAATTTGAACCGCAGCAGCCACAATTCTTTTTGCATGGAGAAACTCCATCAGCTCAAGTAGTCTCAACGCCTCCATCTCAAGTTTCAACACCACCAGTTCCTGCGAGACGCACATGGTCACAAAAAGCACCCCCAGAAATGTCAACTTGGTCACAACAGCAACAAATTCAACAGCAACAACAGTCTCAACAAATAAATATGAATAAATATGACACATGGAAATCTCCTTCGAATCAACAGCAACAGACTCAGCCACAGATTCAGATTCAACAACAATTACAACAAACGCCTCCACAACAGCCAGTAAAATCACAAAATAGTGGTTTCGTTCTTCATAAGCAAAATGGTCGAGAATCGGAAGCACAACGACTATTTCCAGTTGTTCATGCAACTCCACCTAAACCAAATCAATCACGAATTCCAGACGAAATGATGATGGCACCGCAAAGTATTTCATTTCTTGGTGATGAAGAGGATATCGATGAAGGTGACAATTATCAGAGTCCAATTCCAAGAAATAACGGTTCTTCCATAAAGAAATCATTTGATAAAATTGACGAATTTGAAGCTTCATTTGGTAAACTCAACATAACGAGTGGCTCACGTACTTATAGAATTCCATCACCAACAACAAGACAAGGAATTGCCGATAGTAGTTATAAATCAATAGAATCTCAAAATGAGAATGAGAATGAAAAAGGCTTTTATATTAGTTTCGATAATGATAAACAGCCAAAACGTCCAAAACCGCCATTACGTACTAAGAAATCACCTAAAAAGTCTTCGGAAGATTATGACAATTCAGACAATTTTGTAGATACTCAGGAAATTGTTAGTAAAAAAGTATTCGATTTGCACCACACTGAAAAGAAGCCCACAATGGAATCGATCAAATCCAACAATAATAATTATTCTATTCATGAACAACAGTCTTATCAACCTCGAATATCCACACCTAAAGAGCATCAAGCTATCGTCATCGCTGATGATAAGAACTTCGATGTAAGTTAATTTTATTTTTTTTTGTAAAAAATCTGTTTGGAGCAAACAAGCGATAAATCAGTATTCACTGAGGTCTTGTTGCCTGTTTGCTTGCCATAAATTACAGATCGTTACTTTTTAATGTAATTTATGTAATTATGCTTACTTATCTTATGCTCTCTGATCTATTTTAGATGTCTGTTGATGAAATGGAACGTAAGAAAGAGAAAATAATGTTGTTATCACTACAACGTCGACAGCAGCAAGAAGAAGCCAAGGCACGAAAAGAGATTGAAGCGATGCAGCGCAGAGAAAGGGAACAGGAGAAAGAAGATGAAAAATCACGCAAGAAAGATGAGCAGATGGCACGAAGAGCTCAAATTCTTGAACAGCATCGATTAAAGAAAGCGATAGAGGAAGCTGAACGAGAGGGGAAAACATTAGATAGACACACAACCGAAATGTTGATGAAGCAACAGCAACATCAACAAAGTATGGCAGCGCCACAGCCAAAAATGAGAATGAATAAGCCTCAAAGACCTCGTCCAAAGACGATTCATGTTGACACTAATACTTCGCTTGATATAAGTGGCTCTGGAAAGAAAGGATCGAATTCTAATTTGACTGGTAATGGTCCTATATGTCCTTCTCTAGTTCCTATTTTTTGTTACTTGCTATTTTTCTATGTTAAAGCTTCTTGCTTCTTTTTCTTGATTTTTTTTATGCGCATTTTAAACCTTTAACTTAATTTTGAATTAATTTAGGCATCGGTCTATCAAATACAATACGTCGCGATTATTATCGTGGCAGTCAAGACTCATTGTCAATCAAAGGTAGGATTTATATTTTTCATTTATTTATTGCTTTACTATTTTGTGTTATTTGAGTTCATTTACATTTTTCTGTGCTACTTCTGTCCTTTCACAAGTGTCGTTGTTCCTCATTATTATATATTTGTTGGGCTCATTTATGGTATCTTACTATCCCCTAATGAATTTTTTTATGAATTTTCTATTTATTTCATGCTGAATAAATCAATTTAACTAACCAGAATCACCCGACGAATATCCTTCATGCAGCACAACTTCTACGCCTTTAAGTAATGTAGGACGACGTAGTTCGTATAATAAATATGGAAAAGGTATGGTTAAAGGTATAACTGACAAGCTATAGCTAACTTATATTAATATTACTAACACCTATCACAATACTATCTCATTTAAAATCGCGATTTATTTATCTGTCCCCCCTCATTTCCCTTTACTCAATTGGTTTATGGATGATTTTTCATTAATTTTCTGTTATTTAAATTAATTAAACTAAAACATACAAATTGGGGTTTATTTTAATTTTTGCTTAATTTTTAAATACCCAAAAAAAAATAATTAATTAATTTGTCATTGTTGTGAGATCAAAAAGTAATAATTTTGTTTGTCCATCGCCTTAAAAAAAAAATGAAATGAAATGAAGATCCTCCAAATCAAGGAATTGAACGTGGCCGAACCTTGACTCGTATTTCGTCAATTTCAAAATATGGTGGTGCTGCACAAGCAGGTGCCAATTTCCGTGGAAGAAAGTCCAACTCTTTGATGAATTTATGTGGCGGTAAGAATGAAAATAATTAAAATTGCCAAAATTTTGCATCATTTTCATGACCTTTTTTTATGGTTTTTCGTTTGAGTTTTTACATGAAAAAAAAAATTTGTTTCGAGTTTTATTTTTTGCGATATTTTGAACTTGTTTCGTTGTTGTTCGTTTTTATATGATTTTGATCCTTTTAGTTTTACATTCCTACATTTTTTTAATTTTTACTAACTCCTACAATATTCTTAAAAGTAAGTTTAGAGATGCAAGAATGATGTTTTTTTGATGATATTAACTTGCATTGCTCTAGTTTTAACTTTTAGCTTAAAGCGCATTTTTGTAGGGCTTGCAATTTGATTGATATTGCTGGCTAGATTGCTATTGAGTTGAATTATCACAATTCAAATAAAAAGTAAAGTTTAACAAGAATGCGCTCTGATTATCAACCAAATAATCAATAAACTAGTTATCCCTTAATTGAATGGTTTTTTTTTGTGATTTGCTATACTAATACATGACCTAAAAACCACATCTAGACTCGGATTCTGGACTTGGAAGAACCACACCGCCAAGAAGAAGAGCTGCATCGCCAGGCATGGGTTCAGGCTCATCAAGTCGTCATTTACCATCTCCTTCGGGTCCAGGATCATTGCCACATCCAAGCTTAATGTCAAAACGTCGTGTAATTGGTTATGATGATGGTGCTAGTGACATTAGTTCAACGCAAAGTTCTATTTTTGGTGATTATAATGGTAACAATTTGATATTGTCTTGTATCTTTTCATTTTTTGTTTGAAGTGATGATGATGTTTTCATATATAGGAATTTATAGTTTAATTTTTTTATAGTACAATATCCATTAATTTTATATTGATTAATTTGTCAATTTCCATAAAACTAAAACTTTATTCTTTTCGCCATTTTAGGACCTCGCTTGTATAAGCAACCAGCTGCAAAATCAAATCGTGGAATTTTATTAAATGCTGTAGAATATTGTGTATTTCCTGGAGTTGTAAATCGTGATGCTAAGCAAAAAGTATTGGAAAAGATAGCCCGAAGTGAGGCTAAACATTTCTTAGTTCTATTTAGGGATGCTGGTTGCCAGTTTAGAGCTTTATATAGTTATGACCCAGAAACTGAGGCAGTGATTAAATTGTACGGAACTGGACCTTCGAACGTTTACGACGTTATGTTTGATAAATTCTTTAAGTAAGTCAACGGATTTTTTTAAATTAAAATTTTTTAACGGCCTATGGACGACTTTTGCGAAATTCAAATGAACTCAACTGAGTTGAACTCAATGGTTCACTGAACGAATTTGAATTTGTAAAGACCGTTAATATGAACGACTTTTTCGAAATTCAAATGAACTGAACTGAGTTGAACTCAATGTTTTACTGAACGAATTTGAATTTGTAAAGGTCGGTAATATGAAAGACTTTTTCGAAATTCAAATAAACTCAACTGAGTTGAACTCAATGGTTCACTGAACGAATTTGAATTTGTAAAGGCCGGTAATATGAACGACTTTTGCGAAATTCAAATGAACTCAACTGAGTTGAACTCAATGGTTCACTGAACGAATTGGAATTTGTAAAGAACGTTAATATGAATGACTTTTTCGAAATTCAAATGAACTGAACTAAGTTGAACTCAATGTTTTACTGAACGAATTTGAATTTGTAAAGACCTTTAATATGAACGACTTTTTCGGAATTCAAATGAACTCAACTGAGTTGAACTCAATGGTTCACTGAACGAATTTGAATTTGTAAAGACCGTTAATGAACTGAACTGAGTTGAACTCAATAGTTCACTGAACGAATTAGAATATGTAAAGACCGGTAATATGAACGACTTTTTCGAAATTCAAATGAACTGAACTGAGTTGAACTCAATGGTTTACTAAACGAATTTGAATTTGTAAAGACCGTTAATATGAACGACTTTTGCGAAATTCAAATGAACTGAACTGAGTTGAACCCAATGGTTCACTGAACGAATTTGAATTTGTAAAGACCGTTAATATGAACGACTTTTTCGAAATTCAAATGAACTGAACTGAGTTGAACTCAATGGTTTACTAAACGAATTTGAATTTGTAAAGACCGTTAATATGAACGACTTTTGCGAAATTCAAATGAACTGAACTGAGTTGAACCCAATGGTTCACTGAACGAATTTGAATTTGTAAAGACCGTTAATATGAACGACTTTTTCGAAATTCAAATGAACTGAACTGAGTTGAACTCAATGGTTTACTAAACGAATTTGAATTTGTAAAGACCGTTAATATGAACGACTTTTGCGAAATTCAAATGAACTGAACTGAGTTGAACCCAATGGTTCACAGAACGAATTTGAATGTGTAAAGACCGTTAATATGAACGACTTTTGCGAAATTCAAATGAACTCAACTGAGTTGAACTCAATGGTTCACTGAACGAATTTGAATGCATAAAGACCTTTAATATGAACGACCTTTTCGGAATACAAATGAACTGAACTGAGTTGAACTCAATAGTTCACTGAACGAATCAGAATATGTAAAGACCGGTAATATGAACGACTTTTTCAAAATTCAAATGAACTGAACTGAGTTGAACTCAATGGTTTACTGAACGAATTTGAATTTGTAAAGACCGTTAATATGAACGACTTTTTCAAAATTCAAATGAACTGAACTGAGTTGAACTCAATGGTTCACTGAACGAATTTGAATTTGTAAAGACCTTTAATATGAACGACCTTTTCGGAATTCAAATGAACTGAACTGAGTTGAACCCAATGGTTCACAGAACGAATTTGAATGTGTAAAGACCGTTAATATGAACGACTTTTTCGGAGTCCAAATGAACTGAACTGAGTTGAACTCAATGTTTTACTGAACGAATTTGAATTTGTAAAGGCCGGTAATATGAACGACTTTTTCGGAATTCAAATGAACTCAACTGAGTTGAACTCAATGGTTCACTGAACGAATTTGAATGCATAAAGACCTTTAATATGAACGACCTTTTCGGAATACAAATGAACTGAACTGAGTTGAACTCAATAGTTCACTGAACGAATTAGAATATGTAAAGACCGGTAATATGAACGACTTTTTCAAAATTCAAATGAACTGAACTGAGTTGAACTCAATGGTTTACTGAACGAATTTGAATTTGTAAAGACCTTTAATATGAACGACTTTTTCGGAATACAAATGAACTGAACTGAGTTGAACTGAATGTTTTACTGAACGAATTTGAATTTGTAAAGGTCAGTAATATGAAAGACTTTTTCGGAATTCAAATGAACTCAACTGAGTTGAACTCAATGGTTCGACGAACGAATTTGAATTTGTAAAGACCTTTAATATGAACGACTTTTTCGGAAAACAAATGAACTGAACTGAGTTGAACTCAATGGTTCACTGAACGAATTTGAATTTGTAAAGGCCGTTAATATTCAACATTTAATATAACAGACTAATTATTTAAATTTTAGATACAATTCCGGCGGAAAATGCTTCGCACAAGTCCACACGAAACATTTGACAGTGACATGCGATGCTTTCACAATCCATAACTCGTTGTGGCAAGGAAAGAAAGCTTCAAATTTGCCTAGCAAAAGAGACATGGCACTCGTCATATAAGCTGCCAGTACACTAATCATTCAATAATATGTTTTTATTATTATTAAAAATTATTATTTTATTTTAAAAATTGACACAATACTTGATAATGAAGAGATTAATCAGACACTAAAAAAATCAACAAAGAAAAATCCTATTAATAGACAAATTAACAATGGTATTATTGCATTGTGAATTTATATGAAAAACTTGAGAATTTTCCTCTCATATTAAACACATTCTTATTAATAATCCACCATTTATGATTATTATTTCCTGTTTTTCCTTTTCCAAAACCGAACCCCTTACTCATGAATCCTAAAAACAGAAGATTTTTATACGAATATTAATGAATGTTTCTTTTTGTATTCTGAACAACTGAAAGGAAAAGACAATTTAAAGTCATTAAAATATAACGTTTAGCTATTAAAAAACTAATTTAAAAAAGAATTGATCAAAATGCATCATAACTTAGTTAATAAACAAATTATTTTATTATATTATATTTAATTTTTGTTATGAGAAGAAAGAACTATTAAAACTGAATATTGCTAATTTTCTTTTGTATAAAATGCAGCACATTGACGACATATTAATAATGATAATGATAATATCTATCCATCCTTAAACAAGTCGTTCCAAATTTTATAACACAATAACTTGTCAAATTTATAGGCCTCTAAAACCTTATTAAAATCTATTCTAAAAAAATAAAAAAAAAGTGAAAGTGAAAAATTTTCTATGTAGAGTCATAGATACTTTTTTTCTTCTTCTTTATTTCCTTTACATAAATCCATTTTTGATTGATTTAGATAGCTAACATTCCTTTTGATTCGTTTTTTGAAAAAAAAAAAGAAGATATAAAATTTTATGAGAATTGTAAAAGTTTTTGGACGTTTATCATTGAAGGATGCTGGAAAAAATATTTTAAGCGAAGTAAAGGAAGATGAAAGAAAATTTGGAAATTGTTATTGAAATTTTTCAAAATAAAATAAACTGATAACATAGTAAAAAATATTTTTGAATGCTTTTTTTTATCATCAATTTTCTTTATGGAATTAACAGTAACAATCCAGAAATTGGAACCTCTAGTAGCAAAAAGCATAAAAATCTGAAATTATTTTAACGGTTTTGTAAAATTTAAACACTTGGTAAAATTTTGCAAATGTATTGGTTACATTTTTTTCAATTGTATTTGTAAAATTTCCTCAACTTTTTTATAGGAAAAACTAAGGAAAACAGGAGTTTTTGAGGGTTGTTTAAGTTAATTAATCTTGTTAAGTTCTTCAAGTTTTTGTGTGAATAGGAAAAGCCCGACAGAGATGTAAAATAATCCTGTAAATATGAATTTTTATTTTTTTGTGATTTGTCACTTATTTTTCTTTCTCGTTTTTTAAACATCCAGCGAAACTTTTAAGAAAATGCAAAATTACCCAAATAAAACAAAAGAGATGTTTATAGTACGAGCTTTAGAGAAAATTCTTGGAGATAAAGATATCAAGAGACAGGGACAGTTGAAGAAGGCATGTGAAACAGCTATTGCAACACTCAAAGGTACGAATAATAATTTTTTTTCTATTCCTACATTTCACATCTTATCATATTCACACTGCTATATATCGATTTTTTTTCCATACGTAGCAGCTCTCAATATGTTTGCGTACATTCCATTACAATCTATCTCTATTAAACTTAATTAATCACAATTTCTTTCATTCATTTGCTGTTGCTGGATTTATAGAAGAGCTGAAGGAAGAAAATGGACAGATTCCAACTAATAATGAACATTCATCAACTGCATTACCACTTCCAAAAAATGATTCATCAAATAGTATTAATGCGGAGAAGTACTTTCTTCCATTTGAGTTGGCATGTCAAAGTAAGACGCCGAGAATTGTTGTAACAGCACTCGATTGTCTACAGAAATTGATTGCTTATGGTCATTTAACGGGTAATATCCCAGATTCATCAAACCCAGGAAAGTTCCTTATCGATAGAATTGTATCAACAATATGTAATTGCTTTATGGGTCCTCAAACTGACGAAGGAGTACAACTTCAGATAATTAAGGCATTATTGACGGTCATAACATCTCAAAATGTTGAGGTTCACGAAGGAACTGTCTTACAAGTAAGCATAAAATAGTAATTTTATGTTCATTAATAATTAATATATGATTAATGATGTGTTTTAGGCGGTGAGAACTTGCTATGATATATATTTATCAAGTAAAAATTTGATAAATCAAACAACGGCACGAGCCACGCTCACACAAATGCTGAACGTTATATTTACACGAATGGAGAATCAAGCGTACGAGACAATTGTTCCAATTCCCAATAACAATAACCAGAATGCAATATCAAATGCTTCAAAAGCTTCTTCCCAACAACAACAAATTCAAACCAATAATAATAATGATGATAGTAATAGTGAGAAAGTTAATGAAACTCAAGGACAAACGTTAGAAAATAACAATAATGATAGTGTTAAAAGTGATGAGAATATAAAAGAGACGACAGTAAATGGCGAGATTGAGATAGATGATATGCAGGATTATGTGAAGAAAATTGTTGATGAAATTTTGGATAGTGCTGTTACAGTTGTTGAAAATAAGCTAAATAGTAGCAGTGAAGTGGAAGTAGAAGAGCCACAAAAGAAGGAGGAATTAAAGAAAGTGTCGAGTGTTAGTAGCATATCCAATGATGGCTCAATCTCTGAACAGCAACAAAATAATGAAAATAATGAAATTAGTTCAGAAAATGAGAATATTGCAGCATCAAAGTTCACTCATGTTTTACAGAAAGATGCATTTCTAGTGTTTCGAGCTTTATGTAAATTATCAATGAAACCATTGCCTGAAGGCCATCCAGATCCAAAATCTCATGAGTTACGATCAAAAATATTATCCCTTCATTTACTTTTATCCATTCTCCAAAATGCTGGACCAATCTTTCGTTCAAATGATATGTTTATTATGGCCATTAAGCAATATTTGTGTGTTGCATTATCCAAAAATGGAGTCTCTTCCGTCCCAGAAGTTTTTGAATTGTCACTATCGATTTTTGTGGCCTTATTATCAAATTTTAAGGTTCATCTTAAGAAACAAATTGAAGTGTTCTTTAAAGAAATCTTTCTCAACATTTTAGAGACATCAAGCTCAACATTCGAACATAAATTCATGGTCATTCAGGCATTAGTTCGTATTTGTGGAGATGCTCAAAGTGTTGTTGATATTTACATTAACTACGATTGTGACTTTTCGGCTGCAAATTTATTCGAACGTCTTGTTAATGATTTGTCGAAAATTGCTCAAGGACGTCAAGCTTTAGAGCTAGGCGCAACAACAATTCAAGAGAAATCTATGCGAATTAAAGGATTGGAATGTCTTGTATCGATACTAAAATGTAAAGTTGAATGGAGTAAGGATTTATATATGAATCCAAATCTACAGACAACGTTAGGAGAAACAACTCATAAAACACCAACATCGCCGCATGAAAATGACAACATAGATCAACAATCTATTAAGCATAGTGGATCAAGTTTGAGTTTAAATTCAGCTGGAAGTATTAATAATAATTCTGGGAATAGAGAAGTGCTTGATTTCCCTGAAGAATTAGAAGAAAGGAAGCAAAGAAAAGAATTGATGGAAACTGGAATTGAAATGTTTAATAAGAAACCAAAAAAAGGCATTCAATTTCTACAAGAAAGAGGTCTTTTAGGCCCAACAATTAGCGATATTGCTAAATTCCTGATTGAGGATGAACGTTTAGATAAAACTCAAGTTGGTGATTTTCTTGGCGATAACGATGATCAAAGTAAGGCAGCAATGTGTGCATATATTGACGCAAAAGATTTTAGTGGTATGGAAATTGTTGCTGCTTTACGATTCTTTCTTGAAGGTTTTCGTCTTCCTGGTGAAGCTCAAAAAATTGATCGATTAATGGAAAAGTTTGCGAGCAGATATTGCGAATGTAATCCAAACAATCCACTTTTTACAAGTGCTGATACGGTTTATGTACTAGCCTTTTCCGTTATTATGCTTACAACTGATTTACATTCACCGCAAGTGAAGAATAAAATGAGTAAGGAACAATACATAAAACTTAATCGTGGCATAAGTGACAGTAAGGATTTACCTGAGGAATATCTTTCACATATTTACGATGAAATTTCGGATCATGAAATAAAAATGAAGAATACAGTTGTCAATAAACCAAGCGGTAAGCAAGTAATAATTAATGAAAAGAAACGCAAACTTGTATGGAATATGGAAATGGAAACAATATCATCGACAGCAAAAAATTTAATGGAATCTGTTTCGCACGTAAGGGAGGCTTTTACATCAGCAAAGCATCTTGATCATGTACGACCAATGTTTAAACTTTCATGGACACCATTTTTAGCAGCCTTCTCAGTTGGGCTTCAAGATTGTGATGATCCAGAAATTGCCCAATTATGTTTGGATGGCATACGATGTGCTATTCGAATTGCATGCATATTTCATATGACACTTGAACGAGATGCTTATGTACAGGCATTAGCTCGATTTACTTTATTGACGGCAAACTCGCCTATAACCGAAATGAAGGCAAAGAACATTGATACAATTAAAACATTAATAATGGTTGCACATACAGATGGAAATTATCTCGGATCTAGTTGGTTAGATATCGTAAAATGTATCTCACAACTTGAATTGGCTCAATTAATTGGTACTGGTGTTAGACCCCAATATTTATCCGGACCAACACATCGTGATGCATTACTTGATCCAAGCGTTAAGGAACATATTGGTGAAACAAGCTCGCAATCTGTTGTCGTTGCTGTAGACAGAATTTTTACGGGCTCTATAAGACTTGATGGTGATGCTATTGTTGATTTTGTTAAAGCTCTTTGTCACGTATCGCTTGACGAATTACATGGCGTTCAACCGAGAATGTTTTCACTGCAAAAAATTGTCGAAATTTCATACTACAACATGGGACGTATTCGTTTACAATGGTCGAGAATATGGCAAGTACTTGGTGATTACTTCAATATGGTTGGTATAAATGCGAATGAAGAAATTGCATTTTTCGCACTTGATTCTCTTCGTCAACTGTCTATGAAATTCATCGAAAAGGGTGAGTTTTCAAATTTCCGTTTCCAAAAAGATTTCCTTCGACCATTCGAACACATCATGAAGAAAAATAATTCGCCAGCAACGAGAGACATGGTCGTACGTTGTGTTGCTCAAATGGTTAATTCACAATCGCAAAACATCAAGTCTGGATGGAAAAATATTTTCTCTGTTTTTCATTTGGCTGCTGGCGATCATGATGAGTCAATTGTTGAGCTGGCATTTCAGACAACAGGAAAGATTATCATGGTACTTTACAAAAAGCAGTTTCATATTATGATTGACTCATTTCCGGATGCAGTAAAATGCTTATCTGAATTCGCATCCAATTCCCGCTTTCCTGACATATCTATGGAAGCAATACGCTTGTTAAGAACCTGTGCTGTATCTGTGAATGAATCCCCACAGCAATTTGCTGAACATACAGGAATGGAAAATGACATTCATGTGTTGGAAGAGGATCGTGTTTGGGTACGTGGATGGTTCCCAATGTTATTCTCATTATCGTGCGTAGTTAATCGATGTAAATTGGACGTAAGAACGCGCGCATTGACAGTTTTATTTGAGATTGTTAAGACATATGGTGAAAGTTACAAGCCTAATTGGTGGCGAGATTTATTTAATATTCTATTTAGAATTTTTGATAATATGAAACTTCCGGAGCATCAAACAGAGAAAAATGAGTGGATGACAACAACATGTAATCATGCATTGTATGCGATTATTGATGTATTTTCACAATATTTTGATGTTCTTGGACCATTGTTGCTGAAAGATTTGTATAGTCAGTTGCAATGGTGCGTTCAACAGAACAATGAGCAATTGGCAAGAAGCGGAACAAATTGTTTAGAGAATCTTGTTATATCAAATGGAACTAAATTTGATATGAATACGTGGGAGTTGACAACAATTTGTATTTTGGACATTTTTAAACAAACTTTACCACATGAGTTGCAACATTGGAGACCGGATCCTAGTCAAGCAACAACAATAATGTATAATAGTACGGGACATAGACCATCCGTGACAGAAAATGGAGAGATACGACATGGCATTCTTAAAAGAAGTAATTCACAACATTCCGTTTATAGTCTCAATTCAGAAGACGGCAAGACTGAGCTTATTACACATACCAATGGACTTTTTTCCTCCTTACTAATTAAATGTGTGGTACAATTAGAACTCATACAGACAATAGATAATATCATATTCTATCCAGCCACAACCAAAAAGGAAGATGCAGAAACTCTTGCATTAGCTACTGCCGATTTAAATCAAAGTGGAAGTATCTCACTGTTATCAACAGGTGAACATAGTGAGTGCCAACGAGAAGAGCAAGGAATGTACAGCTTTTTGAGTACCATTCATTTAATAAAGTTTGTCGAATGTCTCGTTGAGAGTCATCGCTTTGCGAAAAATTTCAATCAGAATAATGAACAGCGGACGGTTTTATGGAAGGCTGGCTTCAAAGGCTCTGTGAAACCGAATTTATTGAAACAGGAAACACAAAGCTTGGCGTGTGTTTTACGTATCCTATTTAAAATGTATAGTGACGAAAATCGACAGAATGATTGGATTGATATAGAACAAAGGTTGATAAATGTATGCAAGGAGGCACTTGAATACTTCTTATCGCTTCAAAGTGAACCACATCGTGATGCGTGGACATCGTTATTACTTCTCATCATGACAAGGCTGCTCAAAATGCCTGACCATAGAGTAAGTGTGATTTTTATCAACTTTTTGTATGATTTTTGAAGTGTGCCAATGAACTTTGTTATGTGATATGTAAAGTTGTGCGATCATTTTATACTTTCAAAAAAGAAGGACAACAAAGTTTTGTCGATATTTTTTGGGATTTGAACTCATGCATTATTATTTCATGATTTTATCACAAATTACATTCAAGTAACTTTGAACCAATGCTTTTAAATCACTTTCCAAATTAATTTGGCATATTCCGAATGACTTTATGACTTATAAATGTATTACATTTCTTCTTTCTCCCTTTCACATTAGTTCGCAACGCATGCTACAAATTACTACTCGCTATTTTGTGACATGATGTGTTATGATATGAAGCCCGAGTTACGAAGTGTACTTAGACGATTATTCGTGAGAATTGGAACTGTTTTTGTCACTAATAGTCAAACTTAACGTCAATATAACTAAATAATATAATAAAATATAATGAGAAATGAAATTTTTTAAAAAAGATATAAAAGAGAAATCAAATAGAAGAAAATTGTTAAATTTTATGATTTATATCACTTGTTTCCTATCATTCGTGATTTGAATTAAATTTACATGTGTAAACACAAAAATCATTGTTTCCTCGCTGGCATGAATAAAATAGATAAATTATTCGAGTCATTCTAAGTCTAAAAGTGCATGCATTCACAATTTTATTTATTGTCTATTTGTTATCATCATTTTAATTTTTTAAATCGACAAAACCCCATCACTGTAAATTGGATGCAACAGAATTTACTCTTTTAGGACTTTTAATCTAAATGATCACCGATTAGTTGCAAAATGAGAAAGTTTTTTACATCTTACTCCCTATAAACAAATAGATTTATACTCCATAAGAATTATATTCTAGCTTAAAACTATCTATTATCTATAAACAAGCGGTAATAATATTATTAAATGAATTAAACAAAAATCCTTGTTTCGTGTTTTTAAAGTTTATTGTATTATTATGTATGACATATGAAATAAATGATAAACTAAGAATAAAATCCGTCTCTTATTGAATTATTTTGTGTTTGACGGCATTTATAGCTATCGACGATTCAAGTTTATACAGCTTTGCCTACTAAAGAGAGATCCAAAGACTTGATTAGGATTAAGTTATAAAGTTGCTGTCAACACCACTTCACTGCTTAATAAATGTATGACATCATTTTTAAACGACTTCTAAGTAGCTATTAAAAATCCTACAAATATTGTTCAAGCTTTACATCACCTATGCTCATTGATGCATTCATTAAAGGATTATGCGCAGCTAATGAATTTGCGGTCGAACACAAAGGAAGCTCTCACTTGTTGTTCTGTTGACCTCGATCTCTATGAAATCAATCAAACCGCAAATTCTCATTGATTATCAAGCAAGGCAGTAAAGCATGTAATTTAAATTTAAAAAAATCTGGAACAACTTTAAGGTTTTAATACTTTTGTAATTTATAAATCTCTAAAAAGTCCGGAATATTCTTCTGTCAGCTGATTACATCACTCAAATTACTCTAGGTCAAAAACTTTTTATCTTATCTTATAGCTAGCTGGTTATAAAATCTTAAAAAAAAGTGTCAAATCACGCTAGGCATTCTGAAGTATTATCATTATTGTAATTCATGATCTTACATAAAAAATTAGTCTCATGAAAGCAACAAGGGAGATAATCAGTTCAGTTCAGTTTAATTGTAACGCTTGATCATCAAAGATCGGTCCGTGATTTTCCAATAATGTCAAATAAAAGTTCTGAAAATGTGTTTCTATTCTCCAAAAAGTTTGACGTAGAAAATTCTATCAAGAAAACCTTGCAGATAATCAATGATTCTTTCTACATCTGCAATCTAAGTGATGTCATTCAAAAGCAAAAAGATTGGCTAAAATACATGCCACGAGTTAAGCCCCATTATGCTGTAAAATGCAATGATGACATTAATGTTCTCAAAACATTGGCATCTGTCGGTTGCTCCTTCGATTGTGCTACTTTATGGGAGATTGAGAAAATTTTATCACTGAATGTCAGCATTGATAGGATTATCTTTGCTAATACTACAAAGATAGCAAGTCACATTGAATATGCCAAGCAACAAAATGTCAACCTTATGACTTTCGATAATGAGGATGAGATTGAGAAAATTATGAAAATTTATCCTGATGCGAGGTGAGTTGAGTTGGTGACATGAAATCCGCTGCACGATATGGATGCATGATAAATTGATGGATTGATAAAAAATTTCCATTATTAGCTTAGGAGCCGTTCATTTATTACGTTCACATTTGAGGGGGGAGGTGGGGATTGAAAAATTGTAGCAAAATGTAACATGGGGGGGGGGGGGTCTTTTAAATTTTCCACCTTTTTAATGATAAAATAAATTATGAACGTTCAGGGGAGGGGTGAGTTGTAACATATTGTAACAAGGGGGGAGGGTAGGGGGGGGGGGGGGGTGAAAAATTGTAGCAAAATGTAACAAAGGGGGGGGGGGGTCTTTTAAATTTTCCACCTTTTTAATGATAAAATAAATTATGAACGTTCAGGGGAGGGGGGGGTTGAGTTGTAACGTTTTTTTGCGTAACGTAATAAGTGAACGGCCCCTTATAACTTTAGTGATTATAGAGACATTGTGAAATGGAAAGACTTGAAGTTGATCTAGTATTAAGTCTTAATGGAACTTGTAATCTTGAATCTAGCTTGAGTAATTATAAATTGCATCTTTCAATAAGAGGGATGCATCTAATCCTTTACTCTTTTATCCTGCTGAAAATAACGTAGCTGGATATTTTACGTCAATGTCTACATAAATGACTATTAGAGTCTGCAGAACTTAGTCATAAAAAGCTTACTTCCTACAAGCTAAACATATCTTAAGAATTTTTAAAATTTATTTCTTGAATTAGTAGCGATTTGAAAATAATACTTGACTTCTCATTTAATCAACAACAATGAGAATTGGAGCTTCCTTTGGGGTGAATGCTTAAAAGGAAAACAGCAAAAAATCTCTTTCATAAATAGCAATAAAAATACAATTTTAAATACGTCAGGTAATTTATTTATAAAAAGAAATACAACATCTTAATTGTCGTGCTGTTGCTGCTGGTAACCGCCATTTAATTATTTTAATGCTTACGTTCTTTCATTAAAAATATCACGCATTGTCGTTCTACAAAGTAGAATGAAAAAAAAATACTTTTAGAAATTTAATTAGCTATAAATCAACACCCTCAAGCTAGCTTGGTATTTCATTCATTAATTTATAATTGAGAATATTTTTATTGTCAAGCTTTAAACTTTCTATTCTAATTATGAAATTCTTGCAGACTTATTTTAAGAATTCGATACAGCTCGGAGAAAGCAATTTATAAATTAGGAAGAAAGTTTGGATCAGATCCAATTTCGGAAGCTCCACAACTGCTAGAGCTTGCAAAAAGTTATAATTTAAATGTCGTCGGAATTAGCTTTCATATCGGATCAAGTTGCGAAGATTATGAAGCGTATGGTGGAGCAATAAAAGCATGTCGAAGACTCTTTGAATTCGGAACTGAAATTGGTTTTAATTTTAAAATTCTTGATATTGGAGGTTAGTTTTAAGGAACAGAATTTTGAATCAGTATTGGCTCATCGTCTTCCTTTTTAGGTGGATTCTTTGGGGATTCATTTAACCGAATAAGACAATTTTCAAGCATCATAAATAATGCACTGGATGAACATTTTCCTCAAAATGAATTCACTGATTTGGAAATTTTCTCAGAGCCAGGACGGTAAGAATAGATTGTATTTGAACAAGGCACACAGTTCTCAAATGACTTTGTCTACATAAAGGATAATTCAATTAATTTTTTATTAAAAATACTTTCCTCCAGCTATTTTGTGGAATCAGCTTTCACACTTATCAGCCAAATCCATTCAAGAAAGGTCACTAGAAATGTCGATGGAAGTATTCTTGACATTATGTACTATCAGAATGAGGGAGTATACTCAAACTTCCTTTTCATCCCACTCGGTCCGGAGGAAATAATTCCTAAAGTGCTGTCGCACAAACGAACCGGAGAGACATTCAAAACCACGATTTGGGGACCGACGTGCGACAGTACTGATAAAGTATGCGAGAATATTGACTTGGAAATGCTAGAAATTGGCGATATTATGTATTATGAAAATATGGGAGCTTATACAATCCCATTAAGGACGCCATTCAATGCCTTTCAAACCACAAAAATGGCTTATTTCCTGAGTGAAGATGATAAGTATGCAATCAATTCTATTAATGATATTCACTTGTTTACTAATTGAAATTCTCTGCAGATCAAAAATCGATGAATCATATCAGCTCAACTTTCATCATTTTAATGCAGATTTTAATAATAATCTTTGAGTTATGCCAGTGAATAAATTAATAATTTCGGTCAAGCATTGGGACCAAATAGATTTGACGTTTGAATTATTTACTATTTCCCCTCTAAGGGACTGAACTGTTTAACACTGTCACTATACACGAGAGTTTCTTTTATAGAATTATTAGCATTGGATATAAGGGAAATAGAGTCTATGATAAAAAATTCGAAACAAACTTTATTTGTGCGTTAATTTCAATATGCACTCCTTGTTATTTTGCCACAATTAACCTATTTTGAGCATTTAAAACCACAGATATAAAGTAATAAATTCAATATTTAATTTCTGACGTCATCCCTTGATGTACGGTGATTATTTCACAGAACTCATTAAATAAAATTGACACAATTAAAATAGAAATTGAAGCTCTTAATTGAATCCTTGAGAGTAATAATATCTACATTGATTTATGCTTGCTTTTCCTTTAAGGCACAACCCACATAATTTTCTCCCGAATCGAGATAAATAATGTCATTACGATTGTGATTGTGACTCAATATTTATAGACCTATATTTCCATTGTAAATTTATTAAAATACATAAAATTATTTAAATTCAACTATGCTTATGTTTATGCTTAGGTACACAGGCATCTTAATTAATGGTAATATTTCTCCATTTTAAAAACAACTCGTGTGCTTTTTCAACTGGATTTCCTGTGATGAAGAACAAAAACAAAGATTCGAATAAATTGAATAAAAGTTAAATCATTTAAAGTATTTACCTTTAGCCTCAGTGGGATATTCCGTACTTTCTTCATTGAATGGAAGTTCTACTTGATTAAAGACATCCTGTTGGAACTTCGATTGATTGAATGGTACATTTGTCTGGAGTGAGTTTTTCAATTGTTCGATAAAGAGCTGCCATCTTGGAATGAAGTATCCTTTAAACATTCCATTCCATTGCTTTGTAGCATAATCAACAATTTGTCCATTCGGTCCCCACAACGTAATTTGATTTCGAGCATTGAACTCAAATTGCTTCCGTTCGGCATCATCAAATGCCATTTCTTTAGCACTTTTGAGAAATTTTCCCAACAGGAAGTCATTGTGTGTTTCGAGCAAATAATCTAAGTCATTCAATAAATCTAAAAACATATTGGAGCTGGTTGTAAGCTGCTTTAAATTTTTCTGCTTGAATGACTTAACGATAGATGGATAAATTTCTTCTGCTTTGATCTGCAAAAGTTGGCGCGTCAAATCTACTAAATCACGTTCAAATAAATTATTCAATGAATTGCTTTCGTTCGTGGCTGCATTAAGGAACTTTTTAAGAGCTTTTCGGACATATTTTCCATCATACCACTTCCATGGATTGAGTCTTAATGATGGTCTTCTGCAGTAAACATATTTGCCACGTATGTTCTCAAAACTTTCAAATGCATAAACACTTTTCAAGAGATGTAGCCATCCATGCTGAATATTATTGGACTCAAAACCATATCTATTATTAGCATATCGTTTAATCCAATGCTTGTGATTAATTTCCTTAAATTCCCATGCCTTCTCCAGTGTAAACTCATAGACTACATAATTTTGATTGATTCCTTCAGGCGTTATTCCCACACCTATCATTGTTGAATTCACTTGTTTAGCAGCTTGTGGGATTTCTTCATTCATTAATCGAATTGATCCGTGCATGCCTGATGTACCACCAAAGTTGTGAAGCATACACCATATGAATGGTTGGCCATAGAAGAAATTCGTTCTATTATATTGTGGATGTTGTTCACTTTGCAGGTCGAGAACTAGAATTTTCCCCTGTGGATGTAAAAAAATATTGATGATTTTATTACGATAGATATAAAGCCATTGAAAATAGGTCGATTGTGCTTATGAGTGAGGCATAACATGCAATTACACTTTCAGATACTCAAATTATTTAGTCAACTGCCCATTTTTTTGTTGTGGATGTTACATAATGAAATTATTACAAAAATCTCAGTTACATAGACTTGATTTTAGATGAAGTTCCCCGTACTTTATGTAAAATTCAACAAAATACCAATGAAATTTGAGGAACAAAAGTCACAAGAGACTGCTTGTGGATTGCTAAACACAATATTAGCCAACTGAAGTGTCCTGCTTTAAAAGTTTCATATTTCATCAAAACATCATGCACATACCTGTGGCACGGCTGTTAAAAGAGCTTTTGTCAAACTCGGAACCCAATAAGCTCCACTGTTGACCAAAAACCATCCCTGAAGTAACCAAATAGCACTTTCATCGACGGCGCTCATTGCTGAGTATATAGATTGTGAAACATTTCGTATATAATTGGCATTGGCTTTCGCTGGCAATACTTCATTGTATGGGTCACTGAAATAGATATGATTCGTTCCATATTTTTTAATCATCGTTTTTAAGAACTTCTCGCCAATTTCCTTGAATAGAGGATCGATGGGTTCAATAAACAATGGACAGCAATATTGATCTGGAAAATTGTTCCATTTTGTCGTGATTGAAAATGAGGCATTGGGAAATATTGTTCTGAAATGTACAGGTAAATGTCCATCAAAAGCCTGTAACGCGACGGATATACCGAGATCATTTGATGCTTTTATGATTTGTGTCTGGAGATCTGATGCGAATTTAATGAAATTCTCGGATAGTGGACCACCCCATCCACGTATATTTCCCATCCTTTGCCATGCAAAAAATCCAACACCTGCAAAATGTTGACCAATTTCATCGTTTGTCATACCATACTCTTTAAAAACATCCAACCACACGTCCTCTTGGAAAGGTGCTAAAGTCAATGTAATGCCCGATAGCGCAATCCAATCAATATGTCGTTGCCAATCCGTCCATTTCCAAAATGAGAAACTATAACTATGTGTACAGACGTTTTGATAGTAAATGATTTGGCTCGATGCCTTCATCTCGACATTGACAATTGGAAATTCATTGAGCGTTGAAAGCTGATATCCATCCCACGAGACATGAGCATTGCAGTAATGCTTTAAATAATAATGAAATGCCTTACAAGCCGCAACTCCGCTGCTTGCTTCAATACGTAATATTTCCGAGTTGTTTGTCTTACGGATCTAGAAAATTCAATGGAAAAAATTTCCGCATGTAAATTTCCATTCGTCATTTGAACTTTATCTCCAGTGTTGCTACATAGGTGCTTTATTATTTTGATGGACTTAGACCGAGTCCTTGAGAAATGTGATCCAATCTTTGACTGAGCCTACCTGATTTAACCGAGTTGTAAGCCAACCTATGATGTAGATTAGCTCTGATTCTACCTGAGTGGCTAGACACCCGAATCTTTTAAGTAAGTAGAGCAAGTCAGTCCTGGATTCAATCTTAACTTTTCGTATCTTTATCACAGATAAGCAAAGACTTAGATTATATCAAAGACTAATCTATAAATGCACACCGAAATAGCAACACTGGATTTTCCCCATTGAAATGCAAATCACCTTAAAATAATTTACAGGCAATTTAAAATTCACTTTTATAGCTACGTTATCAGCTTTTTCATGAATGAGACGCCTTATAACATTCAATGCAGCTTGCTGTTGCGTTTTCTCATCTGTCGATGGTTTGATTATTTTAGATATCTCATCTGACTCACCGTTGGTTCCTTTCGTTACAAAAATTACAAGCAACAATATGTAAAGCGTCTTCATTCTTTTGTTTGGCAATTCCTGCTTATTGAAAAAAATTAAAATTAAAAATTTATTTTTTTTCGTCTTAAAAGAACAATTCTGACATGCTTCACGAGATTTCAGAGAGCAACTGTTCACAATTGAGAAGATTATATGTTTTTTTTTGTTTAAGTATCTCTTCAATTGATAAGAGCATGAAGCATAAAAGATGAAAAAGTATGTACACAAGTACACATACAAAGAAAAGGTAAATTAAATTGAAAAGGCAAAAAATAAAAAAATTCCTGATAAAAATTTTTTGTGCCCCTTGAGCTTAGGCATCTTGTAATGTATTTTCTACATGAAACAGGCACGTAGATTATTCACATTGAATTCATTTGGTGAGATGATAAAAGCAAAACAGGCATTTTTCAATTTTTTCATAAAATTCTTACCACAATTTTATTAAATTAAATTCAATGATGCCTGTCTTTATGAGTAGCTTATTTGTGAAGCTACTTTTGAGATCACGTTCAATGCTAAGGGTATGAATTTTACCTGAGCTTCTGAAAATAAATTTTACCTCAGTAAACATTGAATCATATGTGAACCAAAATTTAATTGCAAATTTTGTTGTGAAGTGTCTTTTTAAGTGAGTCAGTCATCATAACAATTTGTTTGTGGAAAATTGGAACTTCTTCCTTTACTTTGACATTTTTCTAGATTTCTTGATACTTGTGCAAGTTTCTTTGAAGATATTCTTTAAGTTTGATGCTGTTTTTTTACCATTTTGGACTGATTCATATGAAAAAAAGACTTTCTGGATGTTTGGATGAGATTCCAATAACAAGGTTGGATTCGGGTCCTAGCAGGTCCTGTTCTTTGGCTTAAGGTAAGTGCTTGTTCTGACATTTCTTACTCAATCAGTTGAAATTCTTATCCAAAATGCTCAGTACTCACAATCGAATTCCAAGTTTAACAATTTATTAAAGCTTTAAGGAACATCATCTGAGCAGCACAAAAAAAGGTAATGGAATTAAGATTTATTTGATATCGTATTGAATGACTGACAGAATACATCTTATTACAGCAAAACGAATCACTTGAGAATAAAATAATTAAGGAACAAAATACACGAATTGAGCTTAGTTGCAATGATGTCAATAAATTTTATTAATATTGAAGTTTTTCGTGTCTAAGAACCAAGAAAACTGTTTATTTTCTGTTCCAAAATATATTTCACCATGATCACACCAACACAGTGATGTTAATGAAGTCTTAAATGCTTGTTTGTCCCGCACATGAGCTAACTTAGAAGAAATGACAGGTCGAATGTAAGGAAAACAAACAGCACATATGTAACAGCCCAGACATCCAAACAAACAAGACCAGATGTGCCAAGAACAATCATAAATCAACATTACAAGTCTACTTGACAAACTGACTTGATCTAAAAACACGACATCGAAACCTAGAGAATTTATAAGTGAGATTAACAAATTGCTGCAACATCCTAGCGAGCTTTCAAATGTCATTGATGATATAAAGCTGTTTTGAGAAATGCAAGAGAAATCACGAGTTGGAGATGGAAAAAAATCCTATTGTTCCACATTGAAACGTAAACAAAGTGAAAGAGATTTAAAAGTAATAATGCTGATGCTGCTTGCATCTAATGCAGGGGTTCTCAAAGTTTTTTGACATGCTTGAAAATGAACTCACGTGTGCTCCGGAAGATAATCTAAGAACTGTTGAGTCTAAAGTTTCTATGATATTCTATTTACTAGTCAAAATCCAAATTTAATTAAGTTGAACACTGAACGCCCATGAGTCGCACGCAAACCCGAGGAAGATAAATAACTAATTCAAAGTCACATACAAATTTGGATCGAGCTTATGAAGGTGATTTCTGCAAGCTCTTGTGAAGTATATGGCAAATGCCAAATTTAGAACAAAATTTTTTATGACGCAAAAAATTTTTTTTTGTTGATTTTTCGTAGGATTCGAACTTAAGCAGATTTGATCAAACATTTCACATGGTAATTTACTAGTAATTTGCTATTAAATAGTAGTTGTAATTTACTAATAGTAAGTTGTTTAAATAATAACTAGTAAATTGCAAGTAGTAGAATAGAAAGACTAGTAATTTGCAATTTGGATCGAGGTTATAAAGGTGATTTCTGCAAGTTCTTGTGAAGTATATGGTATATGGCAAATGCCAAATTTAGAACAAAATTTTTTATGACGCAAAAAACTTTTTTTTTGGTGATTTTTCGTAGGATTCGAACTTAAGCAGATTTGATCAAACTTTTCACATGGTAATTTACCAGTAATTTGCTATTAAATATTAGTTGTAATTTACTAATAGTAAGTTGTTTAAATAATAACTAGTAAATTGCAAGTAATAGAATAGAAAGACTAGTAATTTGCAATTTGAATCAAGCTTATAAAGGTGATTTCTGCAAGCTCTTGTGAAGTATATGGTATATGGCAAATGCCAAATTTAGAACAAAACTTTTTATGACGCAAAAAATTTTTTTGGTGATTTTTCGTAGGATTCGAACTTAAGCAGATTTGATCAAACATTTCAAATGGTAATTCACTAGTAATTTGCTATTAAATAGTAGTTGTAATTTACTAATAGTAAGTTGTTTAAATAATAACTAGTAAATTGCAAGTAGTAGAATAGAAAGACTAGCAATTTGCAATTTGGATTGACGTTACAAATGTGATTTCTGCAAGCTCTTGTGAAGTATATGGTATATGGCAAATGCCAAATTTAGTACAAAATTTTTTATGACGCAAAAAATTTTTTTTTGGTGATTTTTCGTAGGATTCGAACTTAAGCAGATTTGATCAAACATTTCACATGGTAATTTACTAGTAATTTGCTATTAAATAGTAGTTGTAATTTACTAATAGTAAGTTGTTTAAATAATAACTAGTAAATTGCAAGTAGTAGAATAGAAAGACTAGCAATTTGCAATTTGGATCGACGTTACAAAGGTGATTTCTGCAAGCTCTTGTGAAGTATATGGTATATGGCAAATGCCAAATTTAGAACAAAACTTTTTATGACGCAAAAAATTTTTTTGGTGACTTTTCGTAGGATTCGAACTTAAGCAGATTTGATCAAACTTTTCACATGGTAATTTACCAGTAATTTGCTATTAAATATTAGTTGTAATTTACTAATAGTAAGTTGTTTAAATAATAACTAGTAAATTGCAAGTAGTAGAATAGAAAGACTAGCAATTTGCAATTTGGATTGACGTTACAAATGTGATTTCTGCAAGCTCTTGTGAAGTATATGGTATATGGCAAATGCCAAATTTAGTACAAAATTTTTTATGACCCAAAAAATTTTTTTTTGGTGATTTTTCGTAGGATTCGAACTTAAGCAGATTTGATCAAACATTTCACATGGTAATTTACTAGTAATTTGCTATTAAATAGTAGTTGTAATTTACTAATAGTAAGTTGTTTAAATAATAACTAGTAAATTGCAAGTAGTAGAATAGAAAGACTAGTAATTTGCAATTTGGATCGAGGCTATAAAGGTGATTTCTGCAAGTTCTTGTGAAGTATATGGTATATGGCAAATGCCAAATTTAGAACAAAACTTTTTATGACGCAAAAAATTTTTTTGGTGATTTTTCGTAGGATTCGAACTTAAGCAGATTTGATCAAACATTTCAAATGGTAATTCACTAGTAATTTGCTATTAAATAGTAGTTGTAATTTACTAATAGTAAGTTGTTTAAATAATAACTAGTAAATTGCAAGTAGTAGAATAGAAAGACTAGCAATTTGCAATTTGGATTGACGTTACAAATGTGATTTCTGCAAGCTCTTGTGAAGTATATGGTATATGGCAAATGCCAAATTTAGTACAAAATTTTTTATGACGCAAAAAATTTTTTTTTGGTGATTTTTCGTAGGATTCGAACTTAAGCAGATTTGATCAAACATTTCACATGGTAATTTACTAGTAATTTGCTATTAAATAGTAGTTGTAATTTACTAATAGTAAGTTGTTTAAATAATAACTAGTAAATTGCAAGTAGTAGAATAGAAAGACTAGTAATTTGCAATTTGGATCGAGGTTACAAAGGTGATTTCTGCAAGCTCTTGTGAAGTATATGGTATATGGCAAATGCCAAATTTAGAACAAAACTTTTTATGACGCAAAAAATTTTTTTGGTGACTTTTCGTAGGATTCGAACTTAAGCAGATTTGATCAAACATTTCACATGGTAATTTACTAGTAATTTGCTATTAAATAGTAGTTGTAATTTACTAATAGTAAGTTGTTTAAATAATAACTAGTAAATTGCAAGTAGTAGAATAGAAAGACTAGTAATTTGCAATTTGGATCGAGGTTATAAAGGTGATTTCTGCAAGTTCTTGTGAAGTATATGGTATATGGCAAATGCCAAATTTAGAACAAAATTTTTTATGACGCAAAAAACTTTTTTTTTGGTGATTTTTCGTAGGATTCGAACTTAAGCAGATTTGATCAAACTTTTCACATGGTAATTTACCAGTAATTTGCTATTAAATATTAGTTGTAATTTACTAATAGTAAGTTGTTTAAATAATAACTAGTAAATTGCAAGTAGTAGAATAGAAAGACTAGCAATTTGCAATTTGGATTGACGTTACAAATGTGATTTCTGCAAGCTCTTGTGAAGTATATGGTATATGGCAAATGCCAAATTTAGTACAAAATTTTTTATGACGCAAAAAATTTTTTTTTGGTGATTTTTCGTAGGATTCGAACTTAAGCAGATTTGATCAAACATTTCACATGGTAATTTACAAGTAATTTGCTATTAAATAGTAGTTGTAATTTACTAATAGTAAGTTGTTTAAATAATAACTAGTAAATTGCAAGTAGTAGAATAGAAAGACTAGTAATTTGCAATTTGGATCGAGGTTATAAAGGTGATTTCTGCAAGTTCTTGTGAAGTATATGGTATATGGCAAATGCCAAATTTAGAACAAAACTTTTTATGACGCAAAAAATTTTTTTGGTGATTTTTCGTAGGATTCGAACTTAAGCAGATTTGATCAAACATTTCAAATGGTAATTCACTAGTAATTTGCTATTAAATAGTAGTTGTAATTTACTAATAGTAAGTTGTTTAAATAATAACTAGTAAATTGCAAGTAGTAGAATAGAAAGACTAGCAATTTGCAATTTGGATTGACGTTACAAATGTGATTTCTGCAAGCTCTTGTGAAGTATATGGTATATGGCAAATGCCAAATTTAGTACAAAATTTTTTATGACGCAAAAAATTTTTTTTTGGTGATTTTTCGTAGGATTCGAACTTAAGCAGATTTGATCAAACATTTCACATGGTAATTTACTAGTAATTTGCTATTAAATAGTAGTTGTAATTTACTAATAGTAAGTTGTTTAAATAATAACTAGTAAATTGCAAGTAGTAGAATAGAAAGACTAGTAATTTGCAATTTGGATCGACGTTACAAAGGTGATTTCTGCAAGCTCTTGTGAAGTATATGGTATATGGCAAATGCCAAATTTAGAACAAAACTTTTTATGACGCAAAAAATTTTTTTGGTGACTTTTCGTAGGATTCGAACTTAAGCAGATTTGATCAAACATTTCACATGGTAATTTACTAGTAATTTGCTATTAAATAGTAGTTGTAATTTACTAATAGTAAGTTGTTTAAATAATAACTAGTAAATTGCAAGTAGTAGAATAGAAAGACTAGTAATTTGCAATTTGGATCGAGGTTATAAAGGTGATTTCTGCAAGTTCTTGTGAAGTATATGGTATATGGCAAATGCCAAATTTAGAACAAAATTTTTTATGACGCAAAAAACTTTTTTTTTGGTGATTTTTCGTAGGATTCGAACTTAAGCAGATTTGATCAAACTTTTCACATGGTAATTTACCAGTAATTTGCTATTAAATATTAGTTGTAATTTACTAATAGTAAGTTGTTTAAATAATAACTAGTAAATTGCAAGTAGTAGAATAGAAAGACTAGTAATTTGCAATTTGAATCAAGCTTATAAAGGTGATTTCTGCAAGCTCTTGTGAAGTATATGGTATATGGCAAATGCCAAATTTAGTACAAAATTTTTTATGACGCAAAAAATTTTTTTTTGGTGATTTTTCGTAGGATTCGAACTTAAGCAGATTTGATCAAACATTTCACATGGTAATTTACTAGTAATTTGCTATTAAATAGTAGTTGTAATTTACTAATAGTAAGTTGTTTAAATAATAACTAGTAAATTGCAAGTAGTAGAATAGAAAGACTAGTAATTTGCAATTTGGATCGAGGTTATAAAGGTGATTTCTGCAAGCTCTTGTGAAGTATATGGTATATGGCAAATGCCAAATTTAGTACAAAATTTCTTATGACGCAAAAAAATTTTTTTGGTGATTTTTCGTAGGATTCAAACTTAAGCAGATTTGATCAAACATTTCACATGGTAATTCACTAGTAATTTGCTATTTAATAGTAGTTGTAATTTACTAATAGTAAGTTGTTTAAATAATAACTAGTAAATTGCAAGTAGTAGAATAGAAAGACTAGTAATTTGCAATTTGGATCGACGTTACAAAGGTGATTTCTGCAAGCTCTTGTGAAGTATATGGTATATGGCAAATGCCAAATTTAGAACAAAACTTTTTATGACGCAAAAAATTTTTTTGGTGACTTTTCGTAGGATTCGAACTTAAGCAGATTTGATCAAACATTTCACATGGTAATTTACTAGTAATTTGCTATTAAATAGTAGTTGTAATTTACTAATAGTAAGTTGTTTAAATAATAACTAGTAAATTGCAAGTAGTAGAATAGAAAGACTAGCAATTTGCTAATTAGTCTCGCTAGGATCTATACTTGATGATAAATCCTCCACAATCACTTCTCATAAAAATATAATTCTTACAAATGTCATTACCTGTCACAAATATAAACTTAGAAAGAAATCTTTGTGCAAAAAGTTCATGGACTAGCTTTTGTGTGTTAAAGTGCTAGACATTCCATTACATATATCTGATTTGTAATTATCTTTCCCGCTCAACGGATTCGTTTTACACAAAAAAGCTTGAAATAGAGTATACTTCATATAGCTAACATCGTCATATCCTTGGAAGAGAAAAATCTGGAATCTTCCTTGTGAACAATAAATTATAAATGTATAAAACTCCATGACAACTCCAACACATTCAGTTAACACGTCACTTCACTTCAACAACCTCTAAGCTATCAGCTGTAATTTGAACAGAGGATAATCAATGTAAGTAATGTGAGCTTTCAAGATAAATTAAAAATGTTGTAATAGATAAGAGAAGGAGGAATAAGAAAGAAAGTAAGGAATGGTAGAACAATTCATTATCTTCATTACTGCTGATAAGTGTTTGGCTACGACGAACAATGGGGAAGCAAAAAAAAAATGTTGATGAAACAGAGGCGGACAACAATAAATCTTTCATGAAGGAAACTTGAATTGGACAAGCTACTTGACACAAAAGTAAATTCACTGCTAGATACCGAAAAAAAAAACTAGAAACATTTGAGACATGCCAAATAGTTATAATAATGATATAAAAGGATAAAGAACAAGAATGCTTAGCAACAATCATTAGAAGTACTAAATGTCATGACATAAGAATGAGTAGTAAGTTGATGGATTGATGATGGAACTAATAGTTATTGACCTTGAGTTTTTATAATGACTTGGAGCATCTCTCGTGAATTTTTATTTATTATAACGACGATTTAGTTAAATACTTAAAATATAATTTAATAAGTGCTGAAGAGATGAACAAGAATGATTTCTTTGCGAATATCGACAACGGAAAGAATGTTTTTTGAATATTTGGAATGATGCATCACAAATTAGCCAAAGGTGCTGTGATATCGACAAAACCTTTCAAGTTGTGTGCAAAATCTATTAATATAATCAATTATTGAATTGAATCTTGTAGCTGACAACTGATGTGTATAGTAAATGCAGCAAAATCCTACACTAAGCAAATCAAGGTCAAAACAAACTCCAACTTTGTTTGAAGCAGGAAATACAACACATTCATCATCAAATATTGTTTTCCTCGATATGGATTAATTATCAAGAATTCCTGATACGAACAATTCATGTTCGACAGACTTATCGAAAGTCTAGGGGAGTTATAATATGCACGTTCGAAAAGTTTAAATTTGAAAGAAACCGTTACAATTTTAGTGATTTTATTAGAGTTTTTGATCGTTTTATAAAAGATTTAGCTATATTATGCTGATCATTAAATGACTACATAATATTTTCGTCTATATTTCATATAAAACTTGTTTAATTTAAGTTTTTATTTATTTGTAATTTTCGAAAATTTCGAACTGAAGGGTATGAAACTTCGAATTTTGTATGGCAGACAGACAAATAAGACATTTTCACAAGTTTACTTGGAAACTGTAACGGTCGAAACTCTTGAATTGTTCGTATCAGAAGAATTCTAAATACAGAAACTGGATCAGAATACAAAAGTAATCTACAATTCACCCCTAGAAACTTAAGAAGCAGAAATGTTTGCCCAGATTCATTCATTAAAACACGAATGTATATCATTTTCTAAGAAATGTTCCATTCTAATAAGCAAATAACAAAAAGAACTGAAATCAATCAACAATATCGCATGATACTGAAAGTAAATAGAAGAGGAAAGAAGTGCTGACAACATGTCAATTAATGATGGGAAGAAAACAGTAATAAATCATTTGTAGCCATGAACATCGTTGGTACTTGAATAATAAGTAAAACAAATGAATTAGAACTTTATATGATTGCAGCAAAAGTACTGATTTAATTGAATTTAGGTATTAATTTATGTGGTGCTGGGTACATTTATAAACATATAAGGGATCGTTCACTTATGACGTCCGTTATTAACGGTCACTTCTCAAAAAAGAACAATTGATTTCCAGGAATTTCTATTGTTCTTTTCTTGTTGACCCCCCCCCCCCCCCTGGACGTCATAAGTAAACGGCCCCCAATTTACTTTTTTGATCTTGTACTTTTACGCTTCTTTGTAGGAATTTCGCCTGAATCAGTATACAACCATTCTTTTGCCTTTAAATAAAAGTTATGGATGTAAATTTGATAATTAATGATTAAAATTAAGTTACCTCTTCTTGCTTCTTTCGTTGTTCCTCAAATTCTCTAATCATTGCACAGCAATTGAGTCTTTCTCCAAGAACTAACGAGTTGTCTAGATTAGCAAATCCAACCCACTTGACTTCATAATAAACCTAGAAATATGAAGATCAATAATAGCTAGTCTTTAAAATAGGAAATTTTAAAATTTATTACTCTACTATTTATAATTATTTTATCTAGTATTTTTTCGACGACATGCTCAGGTTCGCGGTATTCTCTGTCACTTTCTGGATCACTATCTAAATCATTATTATGAGCTGAACGTTGAGCCATCTGAAAGTTTTGTATAAATCTAGTATTTGTTGATAATTTCGCAGTAATTTTAGATAAATTTGATTTTATTTAATGCTTAATATGTTGATAATTTAATTCTTATCAAGCTTTCGACATTTAATTATTTTAAACTCATTAATTTCTTACTTTTATAATATTATACTTTTGTTTGCAAAAGCAAGCTGACTTTACATTAAAATTTAAAACTTCATGCAACTGCTAATTATAAAATTTTAAGATCCAGGTTTTACTATTAAGAAGCAAAGTAGGTATTTAAACTTTTAATGTTGGTAGCTTTATTTAATACTCAAGGATTTACATGCTTTTCTAAGAAATTTTTATTCAATCTATGCCATATAGTGAGTGGATGAACTTAAATACGTATCTAACCCACTTTCATTATTAACTGATAATGTAAATAAAGTTTTGAGATGTAACCAAAGAAAACCTACAAAGCATTAACAGATTTTCTTGTAAAATCTTTGACTTAAAACTTCTCTACTAATAATTTTCGTGTAATTCATTCGATCCTTTTAAAATTTTATCTTCATTACGGATCCTCGAAAGTATCTTGTGCCTCATCTTCAACTCCTACATATAACTTTCCTAATTCTGATAAATTACCACAAAATTTATTTAACCCTACGAGGATTTAAAAGATTTTTAGATGGAAAAAAGTATAAATAGAGAGCACTTGATATGCATGATGAATGCTATGAATTTTTATTAATTAATTAAATCTAATTAAGTCATTCCCAGGGCGTGATTAAAGACCTTTTTTTAATTACTCGAGATCTTTTCCTCATGAAAACTGAAATTGCATGGACAACCCTTTTACATTATTTGCATTTTCATGTAGAATTTTAAGCTTAAAAGTAGGAAAAAGAAAGAAATCTTTATTAGGGGATAATTTAGCTGTGATGTTTAAGATTTTGATATATGGAGGGGTAGAAGAAGATTGAGAATTTTCAGATGCTGAGTATGAGGTTGACTACTAATTAAAGGTAGACATCATTCATGAACATCCCCGAGGGATCACGAGAGAGAATAATTCCACTTTTTAAGAAGCTATTAGTTGATGTCAGAAAGCCATCAAGATGTTCCACTAGGAAATTAATTGAGTGTGTATTTTGGATTAAATGCCTTTAACAAGTACAATTATTTCCTACTTTCGAAACCGGTTAATTTCGACAGTATTGTGGAAAGGAGTTACCCACAAAAAAGTTCATCAGCATTTTAAATTTTTTTCCTTGTAATTACTTTTTCAAGTTGAGAATTTTATCATTTATTTCTTGTTAAATTTTTTATTGTCAGCACTTTTCCCATTTTGACCATAAAAATGGAAAATTTTACACCTGATACCATCAACTTTAATGCCATTAATTGTAATAAAACAATTTTCTGTATCATGCACAAGATGAGAAAGAAATGGAAGCACTTTGTTGCAATATCATTGAAAACCTTTAATATTAAATTAGTCAAGAATCTCATTTCGAGGATTAGTGAATCAATTTTCGTGAATTACTTTGTAAGCTTTCGACATATTGAAAATCAGCCACGCATTACCTTCAAAATTAGTACGGGGAATCGATTTAAAAGCATTAAATGGTTGTGTGCGCATTCTCGTTCATCGAATATGTAACCGAAATTGAGATTGTTAGCGATATGCCGCAGTAAACAGTTTTAATGGTGATTTTATCGAAGCTCTGTGGGTTTTATTGGAGATAATGAAAATTTTCACATGATTACAGATGTGATTGATTTCTCACTTGGTGGATGTGTGGAATTAGAGGTTTTGGCAGGATAACAACAAATTTATTAGGATCTGTTGATTTTTAATTCGTTGTTGCTGTTCATTTAATGACAGTCAGCTACGCAATACCTCATTTAAGTCATAAACAAGTTGTCATCTTCGATTTTAATTCAAAAAGTTTGCTTCATTTTATTCACCATGAAATTGATACTTTTAGCATAAAATCTGGGACTACTCTGAACCAAATTCCAGCAGATGATCACCTCATTCTAATCTTAGAGAATTTAGTGCTTAAAAAGTCATAAAATTTATTTCCCAATTGCATCTAAGGCACTTAAACCCTTTTCTACAGATGGTAAACCTCTCTTCAATTTTTTTTTCTTTTCATTCTTACCAAAATCTGTTGCTGCTGCTTCTGTTCTTATCATAATATTCAAGGGAAAAGAGAAAAAAAAAATCATAAGAAGCCATTATGAGACACATAAAATATTGCATGAATAAATTTACATAGAAATATTTCTCCTTTACACTTATAAGGTAGATATGACGTAGCAGGTATGATGAAAAGAATTAAAATTATTAATTGCTACATTAATTATAAAAAATAAATGATTTTTCTTCCTTACTTATGTTCTTCTTCATGTTATGGTAGCAACAAGAAGAATTCTTTACATCTTACAAAATCTGAGAAGATAGCAACAAGGAGATGTCGATAAGCATCTTTAAAAAGTACGATACAGTTGATTGAACATGAAAAGAAAGTGATAAATTTTGTCAAATTGATGAATAAAGAAGGATTTTGGGTTCTTAAGCGTGCACATGCGAGTGGATGATTAACGTAAATATTTAAGTATGGATTAAATTGATTCTGAAATAATTTCTTCTAGACCTTTTAAATTGAATTATTTATGAGACTTTTTCAATCACTGGAATTAAATTTTAATCGGAAAGTTCAAGTTTGGAGATGTTTTTCTTCATTGAGCACAATTTCGTTTTTTGGGTAGAATTAATTAGAATTAAGAATTTTTGACCTTGAATTAAAGTTTAAAGGATTATGTGAATCTAAACTCTAGTGTAGGAATGCAATCATTGAGATGACCTTTTAAGGATGGAAATGATTGGATTTGAGATTCTGATTAAATTTGGCACGCGACAATAGGAGATAAGGGGAGGGAGGAAGAATGCACTTAGTAAACCTAGTAAAGATCATGAAAAAGTAACCTTGATGCTAAAATTCAGACCTACATTTACTTCCTGCTAATTGTTGGACTTCATAAGTGAATTTGCTTAATATTTCAACAGCATTTCCATGATTAGATAATTAAAGATTAATACCCTAGTTACCAAAAGGTAGATCAATGTATTCCATGAGAATCTTCCATGGATGATACATATGTATTATCCATGTATTATCCATCGGAAGCTGATGTCCTTTGAAAATGGAAGATAAATGGACAATGCAATAAGACATCAATGTAATACATCAAAGGAATACAAATGGAAAACAAATGGATTACTTTTTTTGCATAAAAACACGTGCTAAATTCCACGTGTTCTTTTGTAGTTTTCATTTATTTGTGTAAATTATTGTAAAAGTATTAGTGTGTACTTAATTAAAGTACACTAACACTACGAAAAAGAACAAAAAGGACTTAATTTAATGAAGTCGCATACTGATGAACGCCCAAGACTCGCACACAAACCTGAGGAAGATAAATAATTAATTGAAAGCCCCATACAAATTTAGAGAGACCTTATAATAGTGATTTCTTCGAGCAATTGTGAAGTATATGGCAAATGCCAAATTTAGAACAAATATTATTTTCCTGCAAAAAAATATTTTTTTTGATGATTTTTCATAGGATTTGATCCTAAGCAGGCTCGGGTAGTACTTCGATGGAACACTTTTGTTACATGTTTGTAAAACAAATATTTTACATATAATAAATAATGATACATTTGATCTTCCATCGACGTCGAAGGAAGATTATATGGAACATTTTGGTTACTAGGGATATCTTCACAGAAAAATAAGGAAATCTACCTTTAGTTATTCAATTAAATGCCTGTCTGATAAACACCTTCATTTCTAGTCCAATTATAATTAAGTATCTTTTTTCAGTTCATATAAGGCTACCTTCAAAATGTCTGTAGGCGTACTTTTGATGAATGAATAAAGATTTAGAGATCGCGTGTTTTCAATTGAACCAAAAAGCACTGAAATTTGTTTCCATTTCGCAAACAAACGAATTAAATATGATAAATTTGAAGTAGAAGAAAAAGTTAAATTTGAAATATCAGAACATTGAGTAACGGGAGGAGTAGCAAATTAAAATATATAATTAATCATTGAATTAATAATGGAACGGACACGCAAAAATGATGTTTAACATGTAATGCTCATGGAGATGAGCAAAATATTCACGAATAAGCAGTTCATGGAAGTGAAAAAATGTAGGAATCCTTATGAACAATCCCCTAGAAGCATTTAGGAAGGAACTGATATTAAGTTTGTTTTCGGATAAATTTTTGATTAATTCTTGCATTTTGTATTAAGAAAATTGGAGGATGGAGTAAGAATATTGGAGTAGCTAAATGTAACTGAGCCTTTTTAAGAGCATTAAAACTTTAAAGCATTTTCAATAATGCAAATTTCATTGAAAATTTGATGTAATTCTCAAAAGATTTCGCAAAATTTCGACCATTAGCTACCTCTTATATCCATCGGTGAAGCACTGCATTTTATTTAAATGCTGTTAAGCTTATCTTACAGAACAAGAACTACATTTTCGAAGGAGGTACACATAAACATGTAATTAAATTAGATTTAATACGAATTGCAGAAAAGGAAAATATGTAAAAGCATCCGTTTGTCAGATATTCGTACAATGAATGAACAAGCTGACTCCGAGGCAATATTTTATGAATAATTTTCAAAGCGTTTGTAGTATGCATGATGAATCCCAAAAAAATATGTTTTATTATTCCATTCCATGTACTTTTGTTTTCGGAGAAGGAAAATGTGAACACAAGTTTTTAAGTAATAAAGGCAACATAATTGAATATTCTACAAGACTGACAAGTTTTTAACTTTTCTTGAGGCCTAACTTTTGGCATTTATTGAAAGAAATAAAACATTTAAGTGACTTTTTTAATTTGTCAGTCCAGAGATTTTTAAGGGAAGTTGTTTGGTATTTAACAGAAAGTTTGGATAAATTATGATGAACTTTGGGATTGTTTGTGACAT